CTAAGTGCGGGGTTTGGGGGTTTCGGGGTTTCGAGGTTCTTGACCCGGTTTTGCTGGGCTTCGGCGGCGGCGGCGGGGAAGGCGGCACGAGTGAGGGCAGACGCGGAGGCAGCGGAGGTTACTTGGGCTCGTAACCAATTGAGTGTAAATTGGAAAGTGATTGATTAAGCCGAGGTTAAGCTAGACTACGAGAATGTTCGCTTTCTAGAAATTCTGCATTAGGCAGCGCTAGAGCGATGTGGCTTCCATTAGCTTTCACTTGCGCAAGGCTCATGTAACATGCAGAATGGGCAGATTATGTATGACGTGGCCTTAAGGCGATATTTGATTTGTGGATCAAATATTTCACGCCGATGTGGCTCAACAACGCGTACATTGGCGGAATGATACGACAAACGTGTAGAGAGATAGGTGTCAAGAAGTCCAATTCTCTGTGATTGATGATGGGGTGATTCATTGTGCGACACGTATGTGTACATGCCCTCAGCTAATTCGACTGGATTTTACACCAGCTAACCGTGTGTATTTATGCGGAGTGCATTTTGTTTTCACCTTGTGATCTCACGCATCGCATTCTCATCCCACCACCTAGTAAGGCGATCACCAAAGTAACCGATTAAACCTGTACATTTGAATAAATGTACCGCATCATTTTAAAAACAGGTACTATAATATACTACCGTGCTCAAGTCGACCTGAATTGCTAAGTATTGCCGACTCCCTGTGCAACGTTGACACTTCGTCCATCGACTTGTGTGCATAAGGTCGCGAGACTTGACGACCACTGTTGGACGTGATCAGGGACTGACCACGGCGACCATGCTCGCCGCCAAATCGTTTTATGGTACCATCGAACTCGTCCGACAGTGGTTTCAGCTCTCGTTGCCTCCGCCGGCCGTTGTATTTGAGCAACGAAAGCAATTAAGACTATCGTCCACTGCGCGTTCGTCCGTCATGACGTGATTGTCATCGAAGTCATCAAAGTGGTTTTTATCTCTATTCTACGATGCTTCATGCATACCCACGTCAACGCACAAAACGATCGCGCTTGATTGAAAGGCAATCCGACTACAACAGATGCAGTGGCATGCACAACTTGGACTGGCAGAAAAAAAATGTGGGCACATGTCAAATGAATACAATCGAAAAAGACGGCTGGTTCATCATATCGTCATAAATTTGATTCGCGAAATGTATCAAATTTCCCCTTGTTCAAATTATATAAAGGAACAAAATGAGTAACTACAGTAGTAATTGCTTAATGGACCGAAGTTACAGAGGTCGACATGTACGAGGGGCCAACGGATAATACTATAATCTCTAAGAAAACATACGACGCTCCAGCAATATATTCTGTCAGGATGAGCAGTAAACATGTATTATCAAGAATATCAAGGCATAGAGGTAGTCGCAAGGCTAAGCTTCCGATTCGCTTGAGGAGCCATGGCTTGAACTCCCAGAGGAGTCTTCGTCAGAGGAGTCTGTGGTGTCCACAGCAATGTCCACATCATGTATATGGGCATGCAATGCATGCAATTGCTCTTTAGTCTTCTTCATGCACTCACGAATGCCAGTATAAGTCACATGTTTTAATGCACGCTGTAGTCGAACGAGGACATCCGCCAACTTCGTGTGAGTAGTGTATTGACGACCAACTTCACCCTTTACAATAGCCCATAACAACTCGATTGGCTGCAAGTCGGAGTGATGGGGTGGTGTGTACAACACCGTGTGACCCTTGGTCTGTGCCATTGACAAAATTTCAGGAACCACAGTTTCCTCAATATGCTTTGCCAGAGTAGCCCAAAGCACAGTCTTTAGGCAATCGTCATTGCATGGTAAACCATACGATTTACAAGCCGCAAAAAGGTATACTTTTTTCCAGTTTGACTTAGGAGTTCCAAGTGGGAGACCTTTGTGATACTGTGATACTTGGCGTTGTCGAGAATAATTGTGGCGCCAAAAATTTTGTAGTCGTCCAACTCCACCAGTAGTTTGGCAAACCACTCGACAAAATAGGTGTGATTAAACATGCCGTGGTAGTCTTTTGTTTCTTTTTTCCCAGTCGTTTTCCACGTTCAGAAATATCCTATGCCAACAATTTGGAGTCGGTGCCACCAATATCCGCAATTGCTGCAATAAAGCAAAATCGGCAACCTTTGTTGGACGCTTTGACCTGAAGGTCCTGCTCGTCGTTTGGATCATAAAGCGATTCTTTGTGCCGAGAATTGTGATGATAAATATACGACTCATCCAAATACACAAATTTGCCGCGGCTTTTGCCAATAGGCCCACCATTGTTTGAACATAAACGTCCCGAGCCAGAACATTTTTTGGCGACAATTTGTAAAATGACACACCATGTCTTTTTCCACGCTCGTAACCATAGTGAACCAAAAAGCGTTGAACAGAGCGCAAGCATGCGTTGTAGTCTGTCTGGTTTTTCATGTCAAAATCCACATACCCACGCTCATAAAGCAGACCCAAAACGTCACGACCAACAGTACGGGTGCGTGTTTCGCGGCGCTGTCGAACAAACTGCTGCACAAGAGCCACTACACACTGGACATGCGGTACTCGGGTCGCACGTGGGCCATGGTTGTACGGCACAGAAGCAACAACAACACTCTTTTCGGCAACGTAGTCGGACCAAACCTGTTTGACAACCTTTTCACTCCAGCCCAGCAGACGAGCGATGTGAGTCTGGACATACTGCACACCCGAGAAGCGAAAGTACGCATGGAGCCGGAGAATGTCAAGTCTCTCCTCTTTTGTCAAGGCACGTGGTCGCTGCTTCTTGACGAAATCTGCGATGACATCAAACTCGGACTGGATCATGGCAAATTGGCAACTGGTCTCTATTGTTGTGGATGGATTCCTAGAGGTTGTCCTGTATAACGATATTCCACGTCGACCCTGAAATTTTGTGCTGTTTGGATAGTGCTGCTAAAAAATTGTAAGAGGTATTCGAATTTGACAATGCAAAATGACTAACACTCTAGATCTTGGACCTCGATTTCTCGTAAACTACTTAAATTCAGAGGTATCTGTTTGCAGGGGTCGCCCTTTCAAGCTTTGCATGGCGACATACAAAGTTTCAGTAAAATTGATCCAGATTTGATTGAACTATGGGATTTTGGACCCTCGTACGTGTCGACCTCTGTTACTAGTAGTACATTTCATTTCGTACATTCACTATTTTCGGCAAATTAACACTAATAAAAGGCGACGTGGGATTAGCTCGCTTGGGACGACGGAAAGATCGGTGGGAATGCCAACGCATGACGACGAGCAAGAGCTCAAGCTTCTTGCCGACTGGGAACAAGTACGAACCATACGTGTAACTAAAAGGAGACATCGATACGTGCTTTGTGCAGGAAGACGACATACGGGAACTTCGGAACGCTGTGCGGAGGGTACACTTTGGCGACACGTCACACAGAGGGATGATGGAACGATATAGGTGTGTGAGTTTTTCACCGACCAGCTGCGCGATCAAAGCACCTTGCTTTCGCAATACGAGCGGATGTTTGATGCACACCATGACGCATGGGACTTGCTCACCCTTCGACGAGCCAAGTTGAGCTGGTTGGAGCTACACCGGCGTTTGCTGTGGCTCAAGAATGAACACGTCGAAGCAACTGCAGGTAGACGCGTTGTTCATGCTATTCGCAGCTGTTATCCCTTGACAATGTTGACCAGATCTCCAGCGAAAGCTCCAGTTACTCAGAGCGTCGCCCACTTCGTCCACCATCGACGACGAAGTACGTGCCAGGGAGCGACGACGTCTAGGGAATTGAGCGACTTTCATTTACATCAGAAGTCGACCACGACGCTCCCATCTGCCGACGCGATCATTCGGCTGCTGGACATACTCGAACTTCGCATGCTGCACCGGTTCTACAACGGCAATACACGCACAATGAAGCACGACTTGTATCCCCAGAGCGAAGACATCGCCGTGTGGTGCGCACTTGCCGTTCACTCTCAGTTTCATCGAACTCTATCGTCCAACTGATAGGTCTGGGCTCTACTTTGGCATGCATGTCGGGATGATGGTCGTGCTGTTCATCTGGGTGGTCTGGGACAGCGTCATTGACGACTCCAAGAACCACAACTTGTGGGAGTCTTCCGTCATGGCCGTGTACCGCGCTATCGGTTCGATCGTCTTGAGAGCGTTGGGTGCCTTTTGACGTGATGACGCAATTAGGCGTGCTCATTTTGCTCTTGTGGTGCTGGTGCGTCCAAGTGTACGTGTTCAATTGGTACAGCATTCCGTTCCTCGCGATATTCGAGTGGAAAGCGACCAAGTCCGTCCAGTTCGTTTCGCTCGTTCGACACGCTGTCTCCATCACGATTGCGTACCTCGTCAACTTACTCGTACGTTCCAGAGTCTCCACAACTTCGCCGTCGCTCTGACTGCAGTTGCGGCACTAGGTTTACTACAAAGCCGTCCGCGGCGATATTCCGCGCCTTGTACCACCATATATCATTCCGTTTCTCCTGTACGTCGTGCTTCTCGTCAAGCTAGTGTACCCGCTGAAGCAGCGTCGGTCGTTGCTAATGACCATGTGGCGGTAACTTCATCGACGTCGCCGCGCAGTCTTGCAGGTTGACAAGTCTTCCTCCATACCACTAGAGTCGTGGCCGCGCCATGGTCCATCGTGCGGTTCCGGGAGGCGTACGTCGGGGATGTCTTTACGAGCCTCGTTCGTGTGTTTGTCGACTTGGCGTGGTCCAGCTGCTACTACTTTTCAGGTGCATTGTTTCGACGGACATCGACCTCAAGTCGTATCGAATCGCACGGTGTCGTCATTAGGCGCATTTGTCGAAATGAATCCGACCGGCCACGACATTTGTTCGCAGAGTACAACGTTTCACTGGATCGTCGTGCCGCTGCTGTCGGCGCTTCCTCTGGTTGCCCGCGTTACGTTGACGGACCTATATCGACCTGCTCTTGTCTAGTGGTGGCGGTTCTGTCAAAATATTCGCAAGTACAGGGACACCCACTCTCGGTTCCCATACATCCCCAACGCGATGAAATACGCATGCGCGCAATCGGTCGTGCTCTTTGCCGTGTTTCACCCTCGCTTGAAGCACCCCGACGATCACATGACAATGTACCAGGCACGTGTGCAAAGAGTCGTGATATCGTGGCTGACGTCTGTCGTGGCAGTGGTGGTATTTGGCCGCCTGCTGCATCACGACCATGTACCAGTACGGGTGGGATATCTACATGGATTGGGGTCTCGGGGGTGCGCGTGGCTTGCGACCGCGACGGTTGTACCCAACATGGACGTATTATGTGGCGATGGCGGTCGACTTGTTCTTGCGGTTTGGCTGGACGTTGACTTTGATACCGCCTCAAGGGTATGGTCCATTTCCCAGCAACGTCCAGGTGCGAACACGCTGCTCGTTGGTGCGCATGATGATGTCGCTTCAGATTTACCTGGATCCAATCTTGGCGTCCGCGGAAGTGTGTCGACGAAGCATGTGGGGCTTGATCCGAGTCGAGTACGAGCACACGGTGCGATTTTCGTCGAGAAACAAGGATATCGACGAAGCGAGGCCGTCCCCAGACGAGGACAGGTAAACGATTGCTTGCTTCATGCTCCATGCCATCTCTTGTGTGTTATGGATGTGGTCCATCTAGCGATGAAGACGACGACAACCGTGATGAAAAGTACTCGTTCTGGGTGCTCGTCGAGATCCTGCTTGTCGTAGCGTTGGTGCTCGTCGTCGCGGCAGTGGCGATTCTGACTCGATCACCTGCCGTTCAAGCCACTTAACCGCATGCAACGTGGATTGTGCAGTCAAGTCATTTGGGCTTTCTTGTTCATTTCGTGAACGACGACCTACAACAGGATGCCCATGAGGCGCACATGTGCCATCGTCAATAGTAGCTGGCACGGTACCGCCGCGGCCAAGTCACTTCCTCGGCAGGGCGTCACCGACGACTTGTCAACAGTCCATGGGACGAGCTGACTCAACGCTGCACTCACGAGGACGTCGTTGGATGGATCGGGGATCGTCCCTGCCTTGAATGCGTTGCTGCATCCACAACACACCGTCATGGCATGATCATGGAGGAACACGATGCTGTGTACTCACGTGAGTGCGTTGGCGATATTAGCCCGAGTACACTTTGAAAAAATCAGCTCGGGGACGATCTCCTGTTCGACCAAAATGTTGGGCAGCGTCACAAATTTCACTCGTGCGAGTGCAGTGGCAATCATTTCCGTGAACCAGTTAGCTCGGTAGATAACGATCGTCGGTGTGCCTGCCAGGAGCGACTCGATCACGACCGTTCCAGACACTGCCAGGGCCACGTTGCTCGTCTACTCTTTGCGTCAAACCGTGCGAAGAGTGGTTCGTGTCGACCTGCAGCACGCTCGTCTTGGCTTCAACTTGAACGCTGATCGTGTGCGGAATTGCCCACCCGTGCAAACTTTGATGAAGAAGCGAAGCGATCGATGGGATTGTTGGAAATACGACGTGGACCTAGCCAGTCGTTCGGACCAAACATGAGACCCCTTGAGGGGTGCTGCCGAACGTACTTGGACATTCTTGTCGTGGGCAAACGATGCCACGGCGGCTTTGACAAGGCCAATCGTGCGCCGGACTTCGTTCTCTCGGCTACCATCGCCGGGATGAGCGCCATGTAAGACGCAACCTTTCACTTCATTCGAGTGCGCTACCTGCCAACCAACGCAGCAATCACAAATTCTCCACGTTCAAGAGAGTTTTGTCGGCCGGATAGCCTCGCCTGGTGGAATATCGCAGCTTGGGCAGCCAAGACCGTGTCGCCAGGTCGTTCAGGGAGCCACTCTCTAGCCCCAAACCGGGCGGATATGGCAGTGTGTGCCTTCGATGCAGTCAGTTTGTGTTGCCGGAAAAGGTTGTGGGAGTCTAGAAATGCCTCGACAGAAGGATGGCCGACGAAAGTTGTCCACGGCGCGGCAGCGTGACCTTGGTTGAAGAGGGGTCCTTCAAAGGGAAGGAGCACGAGCATGTGGTCCATAAACTGTCGAAGGGACGATGCAGTGGATGCTGCTTTGCGATATTTGTGCTTGAAGGCCCAAATGGATGGAGCAACGTAATGCACAATGGCTGGACAGCGACCCGTGGAGTTGCGCTCGGCTAGGTGGGACTTGGATCATCAAGCTGACCGCATTCGCACGTACATTGCAATGTCTTGAGCACACGGAAGCAAAAGCCCTTGGAATCAATGGTCACGATCGCGTCAGGTTGACTCGTCTTGATGTCCTCGACAACGTGACGATGACGCCGCTGAGAAACTGTCAGTGGCAGATGCAATGACCTCCCAGTCACCTTAATTGCTAGCACCCTCGGCAATACCTCTACAAGGCCCATCACAGACAGCTCTTGCATTGGAAACAACGACGAGAAGTTCCCCGCGGCCGTCATTTGTGGTCTACAAGTGCCACGGCATCATCACCCTCACCACTGGACACGAAGAATATGCCTACCCGCCGACCCCACGGAACTGGAATGGACCATCTCCATGGCGTCTCTGCAACGCTCGAATGAGCTTCCCTCCAATTGCGTCCCCAGATGCTTCTCCTGCGACCACATACACCAGCTTCGATGCCCGCGCCGCCGACACCATTGCAGCAGATTCCAACCAGCCCACGACCAACACTCTAGATTCGTTCCCTCAGCCATCCCAACGGTCGTGCTCGTCCGATGAGGTTCGTGAGGTGAAGCTCTCCACGATCCTAGTGCGTCATGCTTGCAATGACGTGGCGTCCATTGCTTGAGGCATCCCGCTGCCTGTCGACAAGGGTGGTGTCGTCGACTTCGGGCACAGCTTGTCTTGATGCCCCAAGCCGCATCATATCTTCCGTTTCTCCGGTTACGAAACGAGAATGAAGGTCATTTTCCGGATAAAAGTACCTGCCTCGACAACAACAGGCCAAACACGTCGGCGAACGTCCGAATCCATCGGCGTCTCCTCGATGGAGGATTCCTTTGACGACCATGGAGAGCAGCTTTCTTTGGATGATCTTGATATTCAGCTGCACGTGACAGGTTATGGCCGAGACCCAGTCCCAGCAGTGCAAGACATTCGACATCGACCATCGACCGTCGTCGACTTGTCCTACTCGCAGGTGCTTGAAACGAAAAGCAAACACAGGAATCACAGCAAGAAGCGCCTTAACTTTACACGTCCTCCGTCACACACGCTGTCGACTCTGAACGAGACCACGTCCAACGACTTTTCCGCCGATCGTCCACATGGCCGAACCAAGCGCAACCCGTTCGCGTACAATTCGGAAGACGTTGACGAGCTTGAGGCAGAACAACAAGAGCTACGCGCAAAGGAGCACGAGGACGACAACGAGTGGTCGCAAGGAGACATCTCGCTCCCCGGTGATGACGTGTATCGTTTTGTCCAGCCCAGGCGACTCTCGTCGTGGGTTCAAGACGATGCCGTGTACGCGTGTTTCAAGTGCCACGTCCAGTTTACCCTCATCATTCGCAAACACCACTGCCGTGCGTGCGGACGCATCTTCTGCAATGCATGCTCGAACCAGCGCCTAGTCATTCCCGGCGACTACGAGTCGACTCCCGTGTCGCACGCGATCAAGAACGGATCGAATCACACGTACAGCAGCGTGCTGGTCGATACGACGTCCCACGTGATCGGGAGTCTCGGGTACTATGTGTGGAACTACAACACAGCGACACCGTCTCTTTCGTCGAGTGCAAACGACTTCTCCGAATTCAACTCGATGTCGTCGTCGACGCTGAGCCGGACCGAGGTGAGGCAACGTGTGCCACCTTCCACGGCATGATGCACTCATATTTTTTTCTGCATCCAGCTCAACGATTCAGTGGAATTCGAGCGGGAAAAGTTTCTCCGGTCGATGACCGTCCTCGAGTCCCGCGGCGTCGTGACCAAGTTCACGCCCGGCGCCGCATCGGGCGTCAAGGTCAAGCAACCTCCTCGGATTCCGCCAGGGACGGTCCTCCAACGCGTTTGTGACGATTGCGCGTCCGCGTTGCAGCAGCGCCGCCAGCACTACAACACAGTCCAAGTGTTTGAGCTGTGCGAATGGGACATCGAGACGTTGCGAGTGTTGGGCCAGGTGTGTCGCAAGTGGCATCGTGCGAGCATCATGTGCCTGTCGACATTTCGCCAGATTCAGTACTACCTTCCGTCGCATCCGCTGTCAACCAAAGAGAGGCAGCTCCTGCTGCGCAATCGGCGGTTCCTGGCCGGCCACTCCAAGTGGCTGCTCCAGCTCGTCAAGGCTGTGTCGTTTCACGACGGCGACTCCGATGAAACTTCACAAGATATCCTGCGACTCATCGTCGCACCGCGTACGCACAACTGCATGATGACCATGTGCAGTCGTCTGTGTCGGCACGAAATGGAGTGCGTGGATGCCCTTGAGATTCTCTCCAGTGACACGATGCAAAACGTCACGTTGAGAAACTTGTGTGTCGAGGCGCTGACTCAAAAAGCGACTGACGACGAGTGGCTTAGTTTTCTGCCGGTGGTGTTGCATGCCTTGGGCTCCGAGACGAACGTGTCCGATCTCGGCGCTGCCATCGTCGCGCAGGCGAAGCGAGACATTCGGTTCTGCTCCGATCTGTACTGGGGCTCGAGTGTGCTGGCTGAAGATCGGCGATTTCGACGCAAGTTTGACGGCTTCCGGCAAAAGTTGCTCCTCACGCTGGCGTCTTCGTCGTCCGCATCATGTGACACCTACGCATCGTGGAGTCAAGACTTGCTCCTTGGCCAAGAGTTCCTGGATCTGCTTTGGAATCTTCCACATCGTGCCGACAACGCCGTCGTCGGGCAGCTCTTGGCTGCGGCCTTGCGCAAAACACAAATCTTTGGCCCGGATACGCCGCTCCTGCGATTGCCCGTGGACCCACTGGTGAAAGCACGGGGGATCGATTTTGCATCGATCAAAGTCATGCGAAGTGCGGAAGCTCCTGTGATCCTCACGTGCACTGGCGTGCTGCACCAAAGTAAAACAGACACGACGGAAGCCAGGGCATCCGGAACCCAGTCGGCCACCCGTTCCACTTCGCCGTCTAAACAGCAGGTGCGGCGCCCGCCTGTGTACCGCCTGATGTACAAGCGCGACGATTTGCGCAAGGACGCGTGCGTGCAAAACATCATCCATGTCATGTACTCGATCTTGAAAGCGGAGACGAAGCAATTCAACATTGCGCTCGTGACGTATCGGGTGATTCCCACGTCCAGCTACGACGGGCTGATCGAGATCGTCGAAAACGCGCACACATTGTACTCGATCATCCGCGAACATGGTACGATCATGCGCTTTTTGCACCACTACAACGGCCACAGGGTACGATGTCAAGTGTGGACTTGAGTTGATGGCGATGCACACGTAGACCTTGAGCGACATCTCGACGTCCTTCCGAGAGTCCCTGGCGGCATACACGGTGATCACGTTTCTGCTTGGCGTTGGCGACCGACATGCCGAGAACGTGATGCTGACACAGGAGGGGAATTTATTTCACATTGACTACGGCTTTATCTTGGGCAAGGACCCCAAGCCTCTGCAGCCCCCGATGCGCCTCGACAACTATATGCTGGAAGCGTTGGGTGGACCGATGCAAGTTGAAGCGTTCAAGGCGCTCTGTGTTGTCGCGTTCAATTGTCTGCGCCGACACGTGTCGCTGTTCCTCATCATGCTGCGATTGGTCGTGGATGCAATCCCTGAAGTGACCGACTTTGGCGTCAACTACACCCAAGCCGACCTCGACGCGTTTGTTGTTGAGCGGTTCTTGCCAGGTAGAGTTGACGGTCGCCATGGCCGTGAGTGACAAGTAAGCGACCGCGTAGGCCAGACAGATGAAGAAGCCGCGACAGCGATCATGTTGCGAATGGAAGGCAAACTCAACGAGAAGATTGGGCTTACGCTTAGCGACTTTGTGCATGCCCACGCCAGTGAGAAGACTGTGAGCAAAGGAGTGAGTTCCATGAAGGTCGGGGTCGAGAGTATCGGCGGGGCTGTGCACACCGTGACCAGTTCTCTGTCGTCCAGCGCCACGTCGCTGCTCAAGTATGTTTGGGGAAGCGGCCCATCGTCAACTTCGCACTGATTGGGTGGGATACATATGATAACCTGTGAATTTAAATATTTTATAATAGGGGATATAACGTCTTTCGCAGCTGCACAACTTCTGTAGTAAGGGGTTTGCAATTTCTTCTGCATAATGAAGTCTCTCATAATTTATAAATTTTGGTCATCCACACCGAATGGACCGCACAAATTCCCTTCCGCTGTCAATACCATGGCGACACTTCCCGTGGACACGTCGCAGAACGATGCGCTGAATTTGCAAGTCCTCCAGCGCCAAGACAATCAGATCAACGACATCGTTGGCACTGCAAGCCATGTCGTCGTGTACGAGTTTGATCAGACGGAGCAGTCTTGGGTATGAAGAGCGTATTCTAGTGCGAGTTGAGATGGGGTGACTGGGGCAATAGATGCTCATCCTGTCAATGCGTAGAAGCGAAAGGAAGTGGAAGGCAGTCTTTTCATCGTCAAGAGGTGGGAGATATTTCTCTGACACTATCCTCTGGTCATGCTCATGCGTGCATGCGCAGGTATTCGGCTCCTCGGTTTCAAATGTTCGTCAACAATCGACTGAGTACTTCGAACTTGACGATTTCAATCGATGCACAATTGAACGTGGACAACATCGACGACTTCCTTATCCTTCGATGCGTCGACCCAGTACGTTCCATGGCCGCAACACTGCATGCCGCTGATGGCCCTTCACTTTTCGTCGTAGTCGGCACCCAACACCTTCAAGATTTACGGAATCTGGTTCTTCCCCGAGGAAGATCGCCAAAAGACTCTGAAATTGCTCGAACGGTACGCGAAAGCTCATTTTATCATCCCGATGCGCTAGAATCAGAGGAGGAATGTCATGCCTGTCGCTCTATAGTGTGCTTGTCTCGTTGAAGGGTGCTCCCGCTGCAGCTAAACCCTCTCCCAAGCACAAGCAAAAGGCTCAACCTCCCCAACCCCAGCCTGCCCACGACGCGCAAACCGAAGCGAAGCAGGTGTGGTCAGATACCAGGTTTATGCATAGATTGTCAACGACATGAGCTGCTCTGTTTACAGGTAGCAGCAGCAGGGTCGTGTCATGGACCTATTCGATCGCCAAAGAAGAAGGCGTCCACTGTCGTCTACAGCAAGGCCGAAGGGATCGCTGCCGGAGTCGCCATTCTGGGCATGATTTCGCAGTCGACTACGACCGACGACGCTACGTTGGCCGATGCAGCGCAAACTCAGCTTCACGTGGCCACCAGCAACGCACAGCAACCGCCCCAACGACAAAAGAAGCAGCGCGATCGCACGCCCCCTCGAGCGAAGCAACTCACCAAGGACGAATTCAAGGAAGCGTTTGTGCAGTGTCTTGAAGATCCTGCCTTCCTCAACCAAATCTACCAGGCGTATGCGAAAAAGCTCCCCAAACAATAGACGTCTGGCTCGGGCCATCACACTCTGTCCAATTGTATTTCCTGCACAGATTAGCTGAGCAGTGCCACGTGCTTTCATCTCGATGCTTCGTTCAGTCGACCGGTGGCGAGCCAAATGCAGCTTCATCGTGGCTTCCCCGCGGAGGTGCGAGTGTATACAGTGGGCAGTCATGCGCGCGGCGAGTCGGGGAATCGTTCCATGCTCGCTGGCTTCAGGACGAGATTCACGGCGATCGACGGTTACGTCGGTTTTTTCTTTTATCGTGCATTGCTCGCTTCGAGCGCCATTTTGTGGTGCTCGCCATGGGCGCATCCATCCATGGCCGCATATGTTGCTGGGTGGGGTGGATCCTTCTTCAGGCAGCATGTTGTGCATCCTATGCGTTCCCCATGCAGCCGGTGCTGGCAACGCGGCCGTTTCCTCTCCGCGTGGGCTGCAACGGCACGTTCCCGTATGTGTTTCCCGTGGCCACAGCCCCGACGATCGTGTTGTCGTTCCCAGTTGACGACACTGCCGCCGAGTTTATTTCGTTCAACATTTCGTCGCTGCATCTCCCGCCCAACGACTTCCTGCGCATCCGTGTTCCAACGGCGTCGCCTACCGCCGCCCCTTCCACGTACACGTATCGAGGTCAGTACCGCGATGGCCTCCTCACCACGCCCGTGTTTTCGTCGCACGTCGTTCTCGAGCTCATCTCGTTCGGATCGACCAACTCCAACTGCAACTACGGCTTCGACATCATCGAGTACCGGTATGCTGCAACCCCTCCGACAAAAGAGTCATCGTGTGACTCGATCAACACCGCGGCGTCCCCTGCGTGCGATCAACGGCCGACGAGTCCGTACTGGCGCGGTGCGAAAGCCATCGTTCGGCTACTTGTGAATTCCGCGATTGGGTCGCGATGGTGTACTGGATGGTTGGTCGGTTGTGAAAACCACGTCTTGACCAACGCACACTGCATCGGATCTGCCGCCGACGCCGCAGCCACCATATTTGACGTCCAAGCATTCGGCCGATGCAATGAAAACTGCGCAAGGGGAGGGGCATGCTCCACCGGCAAAGTTGTCGTTGGGGCTACGTTCATCGCGGGCTCGCACGAGTTTGACTATGCGCTGGTGCAGCTCAATACAGCGACAAACTACTCGGCCGGCAACTTTCTCCGCCTCCAAGCCTCCTTTGTCATCGGCAGTCCGGTGTACATCCCACAGCACCCGCTCGGAGGTGGCATGGTTGTGGCGATCAAGGCAGCGGGTGGACTGTTTGGTCTCCTGCACACGTCCACGTATGCGAGCGCGGACTGTGGCCTGGACGGCATGTTGGGGTACAAACTCAATACGTCGCCGGGGTCGTCTGGCGCGCCGATCATTTCGACGACAACGAATGGCGTCGTGGGAATCCATTCATGTGGAGGATGTGCCGTCGGGGTCGGTGCGAGTTTTAATGGTGGCATTCCGGCACCGTGGATCATCCAAGACCTCGCAAGACAGAACGCATTGCCGAGTTGTTCCGTTGCGTCTGCAGCTCCTATCGACCCGATCATCCCATACGAAACCTCCCGAGGCACGCTGTTTGCGTCCGCGCGCGGGATCTCCTTGGACGTGTACATGCTAGTCGTTGCGACGGACGGAGCTATTGCGGTCGACATTCAGTCCTTTGAGACCGTTGGGTCGTTCCCTCCCCCTGGAGGAAGCAATCGGTGGCAGGCCTTCAAGGACGTGGACGGCAATTGCGACGCCTCGTACTTTGCCTCCAACGTGTTTGTGGTGGACGGAACGACGGGCGCGATTGTGGCCAACAATGACATGAGCGTGCGGGGAAATGGCCGTGCCGATGGCTCCATCAGTGACTTCGACGCATTTACCAATCTGTACATCTTTCCAGGGACATACTACATCGTCGTTGGCACCACCGACACCTCGGACGTCGACGCGCGCGCTGCCGTGGTAGCGTTTCGTCAGGGCCGACCAGCGTACGCCGCTGGTGTGCTCTTCGAATGCGGCCTTCCGACTGCTTCCTATGGCCATTACACCCTCACGCTTCGAACAAACATGGATGCGGACAGCATCACGTCGTTTGTGTCGCCCAACTCGAGTCTGCCCAGTGCATGCTCAACTGGCGCCCTTGACCAAGAACGCCACCCATTGCGCTTCCCGTCCAAATGTCCGTACCACGCCCGCCCGCCATTGACGCTTCAATACATGGTGGACGGAACCATTCACCAGAGGAATGGCAGCGTCTCTCTTGATCAAGTGCCGTTCGAAGTCGTCGAGACAGCACATATTGCCATTGAGATCGTGTCGTATCAAATATTCGACGATGGAACACCGATGGCGAACGGGTACGACGACGCAGGCATCTGCGGTCGGTCGTTCATCGATGCCGTCGCGTTCGTGTTTGAAGATTCTACGCAAGGAGGACTGCGATTGCTGGACACGGAAAAACTTGTTGCATCCTCGGACGACAAGCCGCCCGGCGTGCGGCCTCCCACGAGTCGTAGCAGCCGTGACCCGTACCTGGACTTGCACTTGCCCAAAGGAAAATATGTGTTGGTGGTAGGGCAGTTCCCGCTGCAACTCCACGAGACTGTGAGGTCGTTCACATCCGTCAAGGACGGATTTTCGCCGTGGAGAGAGGGCAAGCCCAGCGAGACCGGCAACTACCACGTAATGTTCTTGACAGAGTCGCCTGGAGTGCTGCTGCCTCCGGCAGGGCCGCCGTCGTATGTTGAAGAGCCGTGTACAACATGACATGTCAACTTGAAAATTCCATTGAAAGAAGATATCCCATGAAAAATTATTGAAATTTTTTGCGGCTTTGCAAACTTTGCTGGCTTGCCAAGAATGAGGTCATTGAAGGACTCAAGTGATTCAGCCACGCTCGGTGAGAGCAATCCATTTGCACGGTTCGCTCTCGGCAGCTCCTTGCTTCTCTCGCGGGATAATGACAGCGTTACTCCACATGACCCGCCCGTGCATGTTACTCCTGACATCATCACGACTAAAGTCAAACGACCGCGGCTCGATACAGGGGGACGCGCAATTCTAGACTACTCTCTCTCCGTGGACTCTCGGTTGGCAGCGCTGCATCAGCTTCGCGAATTTCGTCAAGATGGTTCGGCACCTGTGGACAAGTTCGGCACAGATCAAGTCGTGGATTCTCGTGCTCCACCAAAGGTACTCGACAATACACTTCCTGCGATGGGTTGATGTAGGCTCCATGCAGAGTCAACGACTACATGCCTTGCTCGGCGCGATGCTGAGCACTCAAACCAAAGATGAGATCACCGCTGCAGCCATGCGTCGCCTGCACAATGCAACAAAACCGGATGGCGGGCTCTCCATTTCGTCGCTACAGAAGTTGCCGCTGGACAAACTGGCCGATCTCTTGGCCCCAGTGGGCTTTTACACGTACGAGATGCAATATCGATATCTGCACGCTAAACGCATCGTTTAGAAAAAAGGCTGCGCATATCAAGATAATCGTTGACATGCTGCACGCGAAATATGAGGACGATGTCCCTTCGTCCTTGACCGAGCTGGTGCGGGACTCCTCAATCAATGTTTTGACGACTCGAGCCTGGATCTCTAGACCAATCTGCCTGGCATTGGGCCGAAAGTCGCACGGCTGACGCTCTTGGTCGCGTGGGGTATCGTGGACGGCATCATTGTCGACACTCATGTCCAGCGCATTGCCAAACGTCTCGGGTGCGCTCGACTCGCGTGAAAATCATCAAAGTATTGACGCATGGGTGGTCTTAGATGGACGAGACTTCGAACGAACAGCACCACAAACTCCGAAACTACTCGCCGCGATCTCGAGGAATGGGTACCCAGGCACCTCTGGCGGAATATGTCCAAGATGATGATTGGATTTGGCCAGCTCACGTGCACTGCAGTCAGGCCGAAATGCGACAAATGCCCTCTCACAGCGTCGTGTCAGTTGCAGATGGAGCAGCGACCACTTGGAAAGGCGGCCACTGTCGAGGAACACACAAATTGACCTAACGGGAGCTAATTATGGGCTATATTCACGCGGCTTGCCGATACAATGCAAGCAAGAGGAGGGTGACGGCGGCAACGGTGATCCCGGCCAGCTGGGCCAGGGCCTTGTTCACAATGTCCTGGGTGGTCTCGACGTTGGGTACGGTGTTCATGTGATGCTGTCTGGAGAAAGCAGATAAGGACCACCCAGATCGCAGCAGTCGCTCAGATCGCGTGAGTTTGGGCTCGACTGTCACCACCACGTGCTTTTTGTACGCCAAGTGTTCGCGCACCCCTTCGCCATCGGACTCGCTATTGTCGTCGGTGGGCCACTCGCACAACAGAGGTTCTCGCAGGTGCATTTCTTTTTCATTCCTTTCCTTGATTCCCCAGTGCATATTTCGCAGCAGCGCAGGGAAGTACGTGAGCTCCACCATCGGCCACAGAGATCTTGGCCAAGTTCCGATCCTTCTCACTCTGGAATTGTTCCGCCTTCGGCGTTACAGTAACCAAAAACGATCTTTCTATTGGCCAATAAGCACAAGTTTTTAGCCAATCCAGCTTTTCCTCACAAAATGTGCTCAAGGCGAGAGAACACAGTCGCGCCACGGCGCTGGGCTTCACCCGCCAGCTTTGGCGCAGTCATCGTGCCTAATCGAACCGTGCCACTACAGTATTACCCGTCAAGAGGTTGAGATGCTTCGTTTCTTGGGATTGTCTGCGTGAGCCTTCGTCTGTAGTCTGGATGGTTCACTTGACCATCACGCCTGGAGCACAAAAGTAGTTGAGGGAACCACGTTCGCCAGAATCAAGAGGTCTCACTGCACCTAAGGCCCTACCGTGTTGTCTATCAATACTTCACGGTGCAAGTTAGAGCACATCCGCGTCGAGCATCCCGACCATCTCAACCGTCGAGGTGTCGAATCTTCACGTTGTCAACCGGATCCGGATGTGAAGGGTCAAACACTTGACAGCATACAGTAAACAAGCGTGATTTCTCCGGCCGACGTGAAATAGTGTGAAACTTTCGATTGAATTTCCATCGCCACAGCACCACCTTTCGACACCGTTGTTCCATCGGCCACAGGCGGCGAGACATCGATGGAGAACATACGAAAGCTCGGCTCGATGGACCATGTTCGCCGCTCACTAAACGTCCCTCGATGGAACTGGGCTGTCGTCATCGGGATGGGCATGTTGCTCTGGCTTCATGGGGTGACTGTCGGCATGGTATTCGAAGGCCAAAAGGGACTCCTCAACCGGTTCCTTTGGACTTTCGTCATCGGCGTCATTCCGCTCGTGCTGTTCACACAGACGACGTCGCACAACATTCGACGCACGGCTGCTAGCCTTGTGTATTTTGAACTCGCGACATTTTGCATGTGCTATAGCAATTCGCTGGCGTGGTTTCGGAACCCCAAGAATCTCCTGCCGCTGCCCGACCTTGGCCACGACATCCTTCCTCTCTGGAAAGACGTGACAGTCTACGACAAAGTATATCACCACGAAGCCCACAAGGTGCCGGACGTGGTTATGGGTGCCCTCATCGCGTCAACAACCATATTCGCTGTGATCCATCCCTTGCGATGGAAGATCATCCAGCGCTTCTTTATCATCTATGGATCTCTTTGCATCATGCGATCTGTCACTGTCATTTGCACGAGCTTGCCAGATAGCGCGGAGAAGTGCCGCCAAATGACACCTCTCGGCAACCTCGAGGTATGGCGGCAGCGCACGATCAAGTATGAAGGCGACGTGTCTCGATAGAGCGGCGCACATGGCTGGGAAGACATTACAATGCGAGCAGTGTTGGTACGCAGTCTCAAGTTGCTGGTGCCGATCGGAGAAGTCACGTGCGGGGACATGGTTTTCAGCGGTCACAGCATGCTCATGGTGTTATGCGCTATGGTAAGTCCGTGCCGTTTTGGCCACCTACCACGTCCAATCAAGCAATCTCGTCCATCTGTGGGCTCTTAGACATGGCACACGTATTACAAGTGGGTGCCAGGTTCGATCAACTACATCAAGGTGTCGGTGTGGCTCGTTACGGTTCGTTTCGTTTGCGTTCTACATCCGCATTGAATTTCGTCGTGTAGATATTCGGCCTGGTCGCAATTGTATGGGTGCGCATGCACTACACGCTGGACGTGGTCCTCGCGCTGTACTTCACCGTGACCGTGTGGAGTTCGTACCATCGTATTGCGAACGACGTGAAGATCGGCCACCGATTCTCGATGGTTTGGATCTTCGATGCGCTGCTCATCTACCCGTGTATCGAATGGATCGAGCGTCCTGACGACAACGACGACCTGGATGGACCGCGAACGTTTCACACCGCCCACACGATGCACTTGCACGGGCACCACCGCAGCAGCAGCAGCCACATGGATGTTGCCATGTGCGATGACGGCACCAACGACGTAGTGAAACAAGATGATGACGTCGAGAAAGTCCACGATAGACAGACGCGATCGCTGCGCCCCCGTCGAGGTAACAGCGGCGAAAAGGCCACGCCACGCAACCGACGTCTACCGCGGGCAGTAGCGACAACGACTCGGCGAACAATGTCCAATGTGGCGCACTAGACTCGCAATGCGGTAGAGGACAAACGTAGAGTGAACATCATTTCAATTCAATCACGTGCGTCGTGTCCCGACGGGGCTACGAAGCCATCGACAAAGGAGCGGGGGCTGAAACGTGCGGCGCTGGTAAGCCCGCTCGGCGAGACTGCGTTTGCTTTAGGTATTCCACCTCTTGGCGGTGGAGGATCGATCGCATGGACGGCGGCAGAGTCTGGATGAAATCGGCTGCGTTGCCAAACAAGTACAGATGAGTGAGAGCTGTGAGTCGGACGAAGGTATCGGGGACCGTTCCTGGCAGACAGAGGCTGAGCTTTGTGACGCTGAAACAACCAGCACCTGCCAACTTGTTGGACGAAAGGTTGAGAAATGTGATGTCGACGCAATCGCCGAGGCTCGGTGGGATGTGCCCTGGTCGGAGGATGGCGACGACGCATGCGCATGAATTCCACGACAAACACCAGCTGCGTATATACCTTCAAATGCATTGTTGCGTAGCGATAAAAACTTTAGCTGCGTCAGCCGGCCAATGTCGCTTGGAATGGTGCCAGTGAAGCAGTTGGACCGGACGTTGAGTCGTTCCAATTGAGAAAGCTGGGTGATCGTCGAAGGAAGGGAACCGCTGAGCGAGTTGTACTCGAGGGAGAGCGTCTTGAGTTGGGACAGTTGACCGAGGGCTGCGGGCAGTGGGCCTGAGGCAGAGTGAGGTCCGACTGTCTCGCTCGGATGCTTCGAGCCCGCCCCCCCCGTACCAGACAATGCATTCTGCTGCAACGAGAGGTGCTGGAGATGGGTACAGTTGGCGATTTCTGCTGGTATTGGTCCTATCGAGTGCGCAGTCGCGAGCTCAGACGATGGTGCGCGTGCATGCGTCCTTCGGATACCTCCAAAGTGGTTGCAACTCAAGTCCAAAACAGCCAAACGACGGAGTTTGCCCAAACTCGGGGGGATTCGCCCTGCGCACCGAGGAACCTCGTGTCATCCATGTGAATGGATATGTGCCAGTACCGCGAATATCGTTTGACGACAGATTCAAGACGCGGAGGTACGTGAGCTGGCCGATTGCTGCTGGCAGCTCGCCTACAGCAGGTTCAATTGAGACGTTGCTAGAGTTGATCACTCGAGGGAGAACCTATCAAGTGACAATTGGACAGCTCAATGCTCACAACGTGCCCCATCTCGACCTTGATCCCCGTCCAGCTCTCCTTGCCATCGTTGAACGGGGGGTAGTTGGCTTGCATGGGCAACGACGACCGCGCTGCGCGCAGCGGATTGGATTTGCCACGCAGGGCCGAAAACAGATCGCGCAACACTCGGCTCTCGGCATCAGGAATGCTGGGACCGCTCACAGTTTGGCCCATCTTGGCCCCAACGTGTTTTGAAAGGCAGGTTGACGCGGCAGTTACAGATGAAACGAATGGCAGTTACCTTCCTTGAATGGATTGGTGGACACCACGTCCATGTGGAGCGGGCCGCTCCACGTGGGTTCGACAGGCTTTGTTTAGCCTCTTCACCTTTGTGCGATCCAGTCGGGGTCGCAGTCCATGAAATCGTCTTGTCCCTTTGAAGCAATCACTCCATGACATGGAATGATCAGTGGGATACGTCGAGTGGGCAACATGGGGGGATCGGCCGATGCCACGTCGTTTATCGACACCCACGACTGCAGTTCCATTTCCGCTGGAACTCGTCTGGGTTGGGGCTAGGGGTGTACGATGGGGGATCCAGACGTTCCTGCGCATGTTTCATCTGGTATGCGCCTTGTGGATTGCCCCCGCCACCATGTGTGGTGCTTTCAATATTTCGCATATTCCAACAAAGTTGGCCCCCAAGGGGGCGACCCCTGTGGTTGACGGCACACCACGATGTATCGTCTCCGACCGTGGCCCGCATATTTCTCAAGTGCCAGCAGTAGTTTCCAGTTGGCGAGACCAGGTAGAGGCCCAACAGCTGCAACACACGCTTGACGAAGCAAGTATTCTCATTTTCCATTTGCCCCAAACACTGGCAGCACTCGAGCCACCAGCATGAACGTCGGAGGCGACTTGTCGATGCACACCATGGCGGTTCATGCTCCTGATAGCTCCAATCACTTCCATCGCCAAACCAGCAGCATCGGCGCGAATTCGACGCGCCGAGGCCGTCGGCAGCGTTCGTCCACGAACGGGTCGGACTCGTCCAGCGCAACGCAGTCGTCTTGTGCCGATGCGTATGTCGAAGGCATGTACGACTATAAACCTGTGTTCCAATTCAACCTGACCGCCATGGTGCGCGCGCTGACCGAAAGCGTGGGCAACAACAATCTCCGGTCGCCGCAGCCGACCCTGACCCCATCTCCGTCCATTAAATCCATGGCATCTCCATCCATGAAACTCATCACGACTCCGTCCATGAGCTTCCACAGTGGCCGAAAGGTGCGGCTCTCCGACCAACATCGGACCAAAGGCCAGGAGGTTGGTGGCCACAAGCGCGACAAAAAGTACACCGGCGTGAATCGCGTCGATATGGCGTAGCGAATGTAGTGCGTCGTCGATCGGACATGGAGCTATTTATGTGCAATAATGAGACAACTACAGTCGTGGGGGAGCAATCTGCCATTGCTATCGAACCCGTTCACTGTTCGAGGGGGGCTGTTGCGATCGTGGTGATGAGCCAGCGATGAACATCAGTCAACAACGATTTCCGGTTGGACAACCATCGATTCGACGCGCTCATCCTCGACAACGGGGCTCTCGTCGTCCTGGCCTTTCTCGAGCAGATCCTGGCCTTGGTTGATCTCAGTCGTGACGTCCATGTCAGCAACGCTGGCTTGAATCACCGCTGTGGGGGTGTATGGTCGCAGCCAGTCGGGCACGGACAAGTTGTCCAAGTTGGCATGTGCACCAAGCCAAGCCAACTGGGACTCTGCCAAGTATTGCGCTTTCGCGAGGCTCTCCAAGATATCTAGTCGTTGAGCGTCGAGAAGGATGTGCAGTGGCGAGTCCTGGCAAAGCGCGACGGTTGAAAGAGCACCTTTCGACGCGAGAAACACCACCATCTCTTTCAGTCCCAGCGCACATGCCACGTGCAGCGGCGTGTACCCATCTCGTGACCGCTTGACTTTGAGAGTGGTGTCGTCTGCGTCCAGAAGGACCTTGGCAACGGCAACGTTACCATGGCCGACGGCAAAGTGCAGTGCCGTGCCATGCATGGTAGGCGCCAACTCGACACGAATGTTGGCTTGACGTGGGGCAAGTCGTGGCGCGAGGTACTCGATGACGTCCACGCCTCGCTGGGCCGCACACGCCAACGAGAGAAGCGGAACGTCACTGCCGTCCGGCGCAAGATCAGCGCCAGCGTGCAGCAGCTGCCACGTTGCATTGTCGCTATGCAGGACAGCGTAGTGCAGCGGAGACAGCGCAAACTCGCCGGACAGAGCAAGGATATCTTTTGGGGGAACGAGGTCTCTTCTCGGGACGTGGCTCACGTGGCGTCCGCTTGCGGTCACCAAATGGTACTCGTGCAAGTGGCAGTAACTCGAAATGTACGCTTGCATGGGTGGCTCCTTGGACTCGCGGGGGGTGAACATGACTGTCGAGTGGGGTTTGAGTATTTTCGGCACATCGACCTCCTTCGGTTCGTGGACGGCATTCAGGGGCACTTGACTCTCCAACAGGAATCCAATCACGGCACCGTTGGACCCGTCGAAGTCGTTCTTGGCTGCGAAGTGCATCGCATTGAAGCGGTAACTTGTCAGTGTGGCCATGTTCAGGCCGTACTTGGTGACGAGGTGGTGCAGAACGTCCACACGAGTGACTGCCGTGCCTAGAGGGGACCTTGAGACTTCGTCGCATCAAGCAAGCCGCTTCGTTTGCTCACCGGCATTAGAGTCGAACGCCATATCGAGTTCCGGCTCGCGAGCGCCACATGCGTAGTGGAATGGAAACAATCCGGAATTGGACGGGTGGACGAAAAGCTCTGCTATCAGCGAAGGAGCAGTCATCAACGCCGGTGGAGCAACGAGGGATCCGAGCCCAGCGTCGAGGATCGCATCGAGTTCAACCAAGGTCTTCTCAGCTGCCGTTTTACCCTTTCGTAGGTCGCTGTACACCGTTGGCATGACCGCAAACTTTGGCGCTAGGGCTAATATTGCGTCCAACACTTGGATGGTGGCGGCGCCACACGCGCCTGCGCACAGGTAATGCAGAGGTAAGCAGCCCAACCTACGAAACTCAATTGCTAACGGTCAGTGTCCCAGTAGCGAGCGCCTACCCGTCGGTCATGAATGGGTGTGCCCCATGCTGCAGGAGAAGCAGCGCCGCTTGTGCATGACCGTTCAAGATCGCGACGTGCAACGGCGTTTGTCCTCGCTTGTTGCACACGTTTACGTGGGCGTGGTATTGGAGCAGGAGCGACGTGAGGTTGAGAATCGCGTCGGGAGCGACTTGCGTCGACTCGAAGCGGAGGCAGACGCGGCACCCTCGAACGGTTGTGCGAATGTGAGCTGAGGACAGGGCCCAATGCAGAGGAAAGGACCCATCGTCGTCGCTGATGCTGGGGTCGCTGCCTGTCTCCAGCAAGCGCTGCAAATAACCAAGACCATTTGTGTCGGCCTTGATGTTGTCGAGCACCATGGACGCGTCCAACACGTTGCGCTGTTGCGTGCGCGGCGTGGCGACGACGTCAGATGAGTCGGCACTGCGCAAAGTTGCCATGGCGGCTTCGACGGCTTGGGATTGGATCTGCGACGACGACACGATGCAAAACTTGAGCACGGACTGGTCTCGTCCATTCAACGCGTTAACGTCAGCGCCAGACGCCATGAGGGCATCGACGATGGAACTGTGGCCAACGGCCAGCGCTTTCATGAGGCTCGAGTTTCGTTCGCGATCCAGCGCTTCTGCATGGACACCAGCTTGCAGCAGCGCCTTGGTTATCTTGTCGTGGCCAAGCTCCACCGCGACCAGCAGTGCCGGCATCCCAGCGTACCCAAACCTGGCAAAGTCGTGCGGCAATGCCAAGAGTTGCGTCCACCTTCAAACAACCGGGTGAAAGCGCTGCGGAAAACGTACGTACAATTACCTGGACGCGATAGATTTTGTGCGTGTCAGCGCTTGCGCTGCCGCGTCAGATGTGTCTTCTTCCTCTGCAATGTACGCTTCCAGCCTGGACAACACGGCGGCTTGGTTGGTCGAGCCCCACTGAATTAAGTGGTGGATCACGATGCCGAGTAGCTCAACGAGCGCGTCGTCGTCGACTTGTCCGGAAGGAGCAACGTGCAGGCGGGGTAAGTCGACCAGCGACGCGAGGACGACGAGGGCGCCATTTCCCACAGCCACGTTTCCAAACAAGTCTGCATCGTAGTCATCTTGAGGGGACTTGGCGTCGAAGAGGAACCCGTGCAGGATCTTGAGGGCGGCCAGAATGTCTGGAACTGGGGAATCGAACCGGTGAAACACATGAAAGATGGGGTCCAAGAGGCGCGCATAGGCCTGCAATGCCTCGGTCCATGGCGGTACGAATGGAGCTGCACCCACGGCGATCCCCTCTGGTGGGGTCAGTCGAAGCGCCTCGATAGCGCTAGCCACGTCGGCTGGGGGTGGCACGCGCTCGAGTACAATTTGTTCTTGGGCTTGGCGAAGCAGCGTCTTGCGGCCGTTGGGCAAGGATGGCACGGCTTGCACAATGCGAAGTATTTCCACATGCAGGTCAAAGTCCGTTAGGGTAGCCAGGAGTTGCAACAACTGCAAACTGAACGCAGCAACGCGGACAGCCACTTTTTCCCCAGGCAGCAACGCTGCGTCCTTCTGCTTCTTGTCTTTCGCGGGAGGCTGCTTTCCCTTCTCGACCGTTTCTGTTTGGAGAGTCGAGTCAGGCAGTGGAATCAATTCGCTTTGCTCACCGTCCGCTTTGGGCTGCGTACTTGCGAGCTCGAGAACCCCACGGACAAATCCAGCGAGTGCTTGAGCGCACAGGACTTGGGGTTTATGCATTCGAATGGGGACCCTGAGGTCCACAATGGAAGTGTCGACAACGCCCCAGTCGAAGTTGAGCGGTGTCAAGGTTTCGACAGCACCGTCGCTCGAGTGCTGCAGCATGTACGCCACAAGAGTGTTGACCGGGCTCAGCGCATCGTCGCCGCACAGCTACGATGGTCGTCACGATGCAGCTCAAATACAGCCGCTTGCACTCTGTACCTCACAAATGTCGATGCTTGCAGCAGTCAAGTGCCCAAGACACTGCGCAATGTTGGCCACCAACGCAGTGAACGCCGCTTGTTTCGTGGTGTCTCCATCGTTGGCATCTTGAGCCTTCGCTTGATCGGCAAGAATGGTGAGGAGGCTGGTCGTGCCTGCGACCCCCATGCGCAGTGCGTTCTCTCGATGGCGCAACACGGTCGCGGCAAAACGAACTACATGGTGTTTGAGCACTCTGGTCATGCAGAGCTCTGCAGGGAAAGGGAGGGGTGCATGCTTACCTCCACGGAGTACCGTCGAGAAGTCCGACGACGCAAATACAGCATGAAAGGTCTCGTACGGCATCCATGGTTCTACTTGGTGAACTGAGGGCTCCACATGCAAGCTAGCTTCGTCAGGGATGGTAGTTTACTTACCGCCCCCACTGGCGGGCTTGCCAAACACTCGACCATCGACCGACGCGCCGCCGTCGACCATCGCGCAAATGTGCAAAACCTTCTCCGCAGCATTGCGGACGTTCAAAAAGGTCAATCTGGCAGCCTGCGCCCTTGCAGTTGCCTGGGCATCGACGGGAGGCAGCTCCGAGACCGAATCTGTCAACGCGACTGCTGCAACGGGGGGCGGGGCCGCCTCTTTATCTTTCTTGGGAGACTCTTTGGCTGGCTTGCCCCCCTTTGCAGGTTTGGCTTTGGGGTCCATCGGCTCTTGCTGGTCGACTTGGTCTCCTGCTGGCGCGCTGCTGTTTTCGTCAAGAACAAGGTAGTGCACCAGATGCGGTAAGAACAGGAGCTCCTTGACACGCGTGCGGCAGTCTTCGTTCCGCTCAAGAAGCCGGCCCAGCGACGACAGCATCACAAGCGCCGATGACGCTTGGCATTTGGCTTTTACCACTGGGCTCGACAATGCACGAGCGAGATGGCATGCTGTTTCGTGGATCTGGTCGGGATTCTCGAGTGCGGTGGCCGTCACTAGCAATCGAGTCGTCGTAAGAGCCGTTAGCTCCAAGCTTTGGCACAGGACTTCGACTGCATTAGTGTCTAGACCATCCGCAGCAATGCTTGTCGCAAGCGCTTGCAGTTTGGTGGTCAACCCAGCCAAGGCGTTGACTTGGACAATGCTGGCTCGGCCAGATTCTACGGCACGCGCGTAAGCTGTCAGCACGTGCCCCGAGCTTCAGTACCGAATCGCGCGATGTGCTCGAAATATTTTGAAGCGAGCAAGGTGAATCGAGGCTCGTCGTGCATGAGATACGACAGTATTTTTTCCGTGGCGCCGGTGGAGTACAGGCTTTGAATGAACGCATCCGTGTCAGGATGGCCGCTAGCTAGCGCAAACAGAGCCTGCAGCGACGCATACTGCAGGTCCACGTTGGGCGAAGTCATGGCCGCGGCGAGTTGGACGCAGGGGTCGCCGCGCATGCAAATGTTCGCCACGAGCTCACTTCGATGTGCATGATCGGGCGGTAACTGCAATGTGAACTCGACGAGCTTGATAAAGATCCGCAAGGCCGTAAGCTATAACATGAATCTGTGTGAAGGAAGTGGCGGCAAATCCCGTGAGCCTGACCTTCATGTCCTCGTCAACTGTCATGTTTCCAATCGCGAGAAAATATTCCCCACCAAACCACGGCGTCGTGGGTGATCGTCCTTCCTCAAGAATGAACACGGCTACACGTCAACGAGGTCAGTGTCCGTTCGCGAACGACTGCAGAGAGGACGTGCCGTTCAATTTGCAAAGTGGCTCGGACTCGGACACCAGGTGGGAAAACATGGCCAACGCTTGGGACAAGATCTCGTGTTGCTATCGATCCACGCATGATGAAATGCCAGGATTGTGGAGCAGTACCTTGACGCGAGTGAGGAACGCCATGAGAAGGGGCAGTCCTCCACCTTCGCGGAAGAACCGGCTGTCTTCGGCGCAGTATCGAATTCCCTCGACCTTCTTGCCCACGTCTTTCAGCTTGAGTTGCTTGAGCGCTCGTTTCCACGCAGCTTTCACGGCTTTCGTCAGTGGTAGCGGTGAATCCACCGTTGCCACCGCGGCGATGGCGCCGCCGTCAGCCGCGCCGCTCATGGTTGTGGCTGTTTCCAATATGAAACGTTTCCATGTGTAACCGACACGAAATATTACATGCTTGTGAGTGGTGGTGGAAGCGCACGCCCGATCCATTCAGGTTGCTAGTTTGTCAGCGGGCCAAGAAGTCGGCGGGGTCGGTGCACCTCGTGGGGGCGAAGGAATGTTGAGTCCCCGGGCGAATCCCTCGTACAAGTATGTCTTCGACCACAGCAAAATGGAGATTGACCTGACTCGACTACACATGAACTCGACGGATCGCCAGTTCGGCGTTGCGAGCAGCCACCTCATGCAAACGTACTACACAAACGACGAAGACGACGCGATGCTGCATGATGCGGCCACCCAGCGAAACATAACTAATGAAAACCAAGACCAACAACCCATCGTGGTCACTCCAATCGATCGGGAAACGGAAATCGACACGAGGTGCGCCACGCAAGCCGCGACCACGTCAAGACCCACACTGCATTCGCTCCGTTGCACATTTCGATACACACGTCGTCACACCGATAGTACCGCGAGAGCTGCTAGCAACCCACCATTGCTCGCCTCTTGCGTCGTGGAGCTCCCCGAAGTCGATTCGCGCGTCGAGATCTCCCACCCCATCGCCAAAACACGCCACAAACACTGCCCCCGACCGCCCCCATCAGGTGCCAAATGGCCCAATAACCTCAACATGAAAAGCTTTCGAGGAAAGAACCCATCACCATCCAGCGAGTACTGGACCTCGTCGGAGAGAATCTCGACCAAAGCCACCAAACGGCGACCACGACTGACCGTCACCAAACCAGACGCCCCGCCGAACGTGTCGCACCCCGTAGACGCCACAGTCAACCAAACCAACGACGTGTCATTGCCACCGTCGCTAGCAGCCCCAGCGACACCAGCGACAGAGCATGGAAGCGCCAGTCGACGTTTGCATGCAACTCGGGACAAGCCGTCCATGGAGCTCTGCCGCCCCGAAGTTGATTCAACTAGCTTCCATGTTCCTTACTCCAATCCAAACGAGGACACGAAGTTGCTTGGAAGTCGCTTCACACAATCTGCGCTGACTCCATCGCAACCCTTGTCTGCCATCCCAGCGCCGACCTCAGCCCTTGGCATGGCCCTATCGAACCAGTACATCGAAGAAGATCACGCGTTGACGAATGGCATTATTCGTGCCGACCAAGCATCTCTGAAGGTCCCAGTTGAGATGAAGGCATTGCCGCGAAGGCCCCCATGTCGAGACCCCTCCACCCACATGACGACATCCAAACCCACCACTTCGACAAGGGCCACCCCTAAGCCCACCACCGCAACGAGCGCCACCCCCTGTCCCAACCCACAACATGTGCGGCGAGAACTCGTGCGAGTCCAAGCAACTCCATCGTACGGGGCGTCCACTGCGTTGTCGTCCATCCGTCAAAAGCAAACCGTCCACGAGTTTATGATGCGACGGAAAGGTTGGCCGATTCTGTAACGCAACTAAGACTCTATAAATACCTCGCGCATCGAAGGCGCAGCATCAAGCACTGAGGGGGCGACCGAGGTCATGCAGCCGCTGTTGGCACCCCAAGGCGAGCGTGCAACGCTGCAGCACCACGAAATTCCCGTCGTGCCAACTAACAAACCGAAAGGCCAGCAGCCCCCTTCGCGGCCAGTGCACACCAAGCCGTCGCACTTGGCAAGCCCACAACCCATCGTGACCTCGGCGATGTACAGGATGGAGCCACCTCCATCGTTCCTCAAGCATTCATGCCAGCTGACGACCCCATCCGAAGCGAAAGCACACACGTCACTGCCCTGCCCACGCGATGAGTACAAGAACAATCCTGCTGCATCTTGTGACGCGCAGGTGCCGTCGACGTTTGTCGGGGCAACCCTCCCGACTGTCAACCGCCCCGACGGGGCGGATAACAGTAGGGGGGGTTCCAAAGGCAGCACAAAGAAATTTACTCCCCGAAATGGCCCACCGACAGGAAATGTTGCCCACTTCCGCCTCACAAAGCAATCGCCGTCGACGATGGCAGTCCTGCAAATGACGAAACCCAGCATATTAAATACCCCCGCAATCCACCGACCATTACGGTGGAGTCGAAGGGACGACGGCAATCAGTTCCACAGCATCGTGCAGGGCGGGCGGCCCCCGTCTCGATCCTTCCCAAGCCAGCATCCCGTCCATGTGCCAAGTGCACCCCCCCTTGTTCCAAAGACTCCTTCGCGAGGGGTGCGCGGAGGCGGTGAAATGAACTTGAGTAATCAAGAAGACTCGGGGCCCATATCCACGCTCCATCGCAAGCCGAGCATGAGCGACTTGGAACTTGTCAGCTTTGGCGAGATCTCATCCAAAGTGGTGTTTCGAACCAAGTGTAGCGAAAGCGGGGGGAGCTGGAGGGACCCCGAAGTCGCCGTATTTCAAGCCGACTTTGGCTCATGGACCCATTCGGACGACTGCAGGGTTGAGTAGGGCATGGCCAGGTTTGCAGTATAACGTGATGTCTGTACAAACTCCATCTTGTGGAGACGGCTGTTCAAGGTGCTGCGGCGCATGGAGGTGATGACCAAAGCCATCTACGTGCATCACCCACGCTCCTAAACGCATCCTCACCCGACTGAGTCGCAACGCTCGGGGCTGGCAGCATGATAGTTGGAATTCTCCGCAATTGCACGATGGACATCGTGGCAATCAATTGGGGAGGTTGGTTGGACATGAGCTATTTTAAGGAGTTGTTGGCGGCATCTCGGGCCGCCAACGGCGATGGTTGATGTGGACTTAGCTCAGGCTGCTCTCAACGCAATGCACATGCGAGATCCCGACGGAGGTGACGCCGGCACACACCACCTCGATGCTGACAGCGTGTTCGACCCGACGGACCGGAGGTTTGGCATTGAAAGCAGCAACCTCCTGCAAGAGTACTACCCAAGAACACATCAGGTCGATCCCCCGCGGAAACCCACGATCGACTTGTTTGACTTGCCGTTTGGACTGCCGTCCCCGGTCTCATCCACTACTCCACGGAGTGTAGCCCCGCGGGCGCGAGCGAAGAGCGCCCATCCAAGCACTCGGCCGCAATCGCAGCAGGTTGTGGCGCACCTCACAATTCGTCGATTGCTCACCACAAATTCCTCAGGTCCGCGAGATGGCTGTCCATTTGCTCGTGCCGTTCGAAAACAACTTGGACGCTTCATTAACCACAACCAGCTTTACGACGCCGTCGTCGTCAGCTCTGCCACCGCGAAAAGCTAGCGACCTCGCACCCCCCGACGTCAAGTCCAAGAAACCAGCTATACTCGAGCCGGCCATTACCCCAACTCCGCGTCCGCCTCAGAGGAACCAGCTCCGTCCAAGCACAGGAGGGACCAAGCGACGACCGATCAAGCTAAACAGCGACTTAGTGTGGTCTTCATCGAAGTGCATCAACACACTTGAGCACCGTCGCCCCAAAGTCGCGCCGCCTCTTCCTGCCAAACAACCAGGAACAGCAAGAGGTTTCAAGCAATCGCTGCTTGTCCATCTTGTCCCACACGTGAACTCTGATATGGTTCTAACTGTCGGCCAGGCGTCCACGAAGGTAAAGGAGGACGCACTGCCGATCAGAACGCACTTGGTGCCACCTGCAAAGATTACACTTGAGACTTCGTCCGCAATAACGCCGCAGCTCGCACGACACCCACAGCTTCGGCCGGCCAGTGCCGATGCAACTCGCGTGACCTCGACAACAAAAATCCTCACAAAGCATCGACGAGAATTGCATCAGCGCATCCTCACTCATCGCTCAGTCGTGGAAAGGCCGCAAGACGTGTCCTCGAAGAACCAACTCCTCAAGATGTACTGCGTGCTGGATGAATACCACGATGGCAAGTTTGTCAAGCGGCTCAAGCAAAAGCCTGAGATACCGATGCAGAAGAAACCTGCGCACCGAAACAAGTCGTCAAGACTGAACAAGGAAACTTCCACCGCCGCGCCGCATATTTATTTGTCCAACCAAGAGAGTGCCAAGTGACGGCGCGCGTCGCGGCGGTCGCAGGTCGTCGCATTTGTTGTTGAAGTGGTTGGAAGAGATGTCCGGATAAATTGGTCCCAAGAACTCTTCTCCAGTGCACTTCGGACTTGAAACATGTATGCTCCTCGATGACATGCAATAAAATTCGAATAAAAGAAAGGCAACCATCCGGATAGCGTCGCTTGAACCAATGGCACAAAGACCGATTGAGCAAGTCATTGCCGCCGGCATCGTCGTCGCAGCACCATGTACGGGACGTGGGGTAACAAGAAGAAGACACTGGACAGCACGGCGCCGTTCCGCTATTCAGTTGTGAAGGGAGACACGCTAAGCAGCATCGCGCGCAAGACCAAACAGGGCGAGCAGAAGATCCGGGAGCTGAACCCCATGGTGTTTTGCGGCAAGAACACGACAGTGTACCCAGGCCAAGAACTGATCGTGGATGAACCGTTAGCAGTGTCGTTGCCGCCCCCACCAGAGCTCATCGACCACGGTTGGGGTCAAATGCACGTGGTGCGGTCGGGCGATACAATCAAGAGCATTGCTCTCGAGTACAACACAACGGAAGAATTCATCCGCAGCGACAATCGCCAGTACTTTCCTCAAGGCGAACGAGGCATCCTTTTCCCAGGGCAAATGCTGCATATTCGTGTCGTGAACACGTTGCAAACCGACGAACGTGTGGATCGACCTGGCGACATTGTTCATGTGGTCGCTGCCGACGACACGTTCGAGTCCGTTGCAGCGACATACCACACGACCCGCGCGCGCATCGTGCTCAAGAACAAGTCGACATTCCCCATCGGACAGAAGCCTCGACTGGAGCCTGGGATGTCGCTGATCGTCGGACACAACTCGGAGATTGAAGACCGACTCAAGCGCATTGGTGAAGTCAAACTGACCAAGCAGATCCACGAAGTCGCGTACGGAGAAACCCCCGAGAGCATTTGCGAGCTCTATGGCATGACAATGGATGAAATGCGCGAGTACAACCGCGCATACTTTCCCAAAGGGTACCGTGGCGACATTCGACCGTCGTACAAGTTGGTCGTGAAGCGGCAGGACTCGACCACCTCCTTTGACAACCAAGCAGAGGATGTGGTGGATTCGCCCGTGGCGAAAGCCGCGACGAAGAAGGACAAGAAGCGGTCGAAAAAATCATCCAAACACCACACGACCAACCAAGACACTGATAGCAACCACGCCAGCGACACCGAGTAACCATATTAATCGAATTCTACATCACGAAAATATTGCTCACGGCGTCACGGCGGCCTCACCAGAGTCGAGCTGGTGAAGGAGGTGGCTCACCTGCTTCATGTGCTGCCGCTTGGCTTGCCGCTCTTTCTCCATCTACGTCCTTCCCATGAGACGAGAGCACCAAGCACCTTGACACAACCTGTTGCAGCAACACCTTCATTTCGTTTTCCGTGGTTTGGACTCGCAACTCGTGGTCACGGATGCTTCGGTGGAGCTGTCGGTTCTGGTCATGCAGCGTCCGATACCGAGCCTCCATCGCCCCGCATTTGGCTTCCCATTGACTGGCTTCATGCTTATGGGCTTGGGCGGTTGCTTGGGCCGCTTTGATTGCTACTTCGTGCTGCAACAAGACTGTTATAACGCCTGAGCAACACACGGTCGCCACGAACCTCGTCTTGCAGTGCTTCCAGGCGCTCGCGGGCGATTTCGTCTTGCTTCGTGATGGTTTTCCGCATGCTATGCATCTCCTTCTCAATGTACTCGAGCGCGTGAACCTTGGCGTCGAGTTCGTCTTGAAGCGCCTCCCACTGATCCAATTTGTCTGCGTTGGCTTGCACCCGATGTATGTCTCTCTCCATATCGTGCTGCCGGACAAGGCTTTCGTCTAGCGCTTGTTCCAAGTCGCGTATCTGCTCTTGGAGGTCTTCGTGGTCACGTCGATGGGCGTCATTATCCCTTCGAAGTGCCATGATTTGCTGTGCCTGGTCATCCAGCATGATATTTTTCACTTGGAGCGTTGCGGTCGCTTCACTCAGCTGTCGTTGGAGGTCCTCCACTGCCTTGGCCACATCTCTCGCTTGGTGCAGCTCGGTCTCTAGCGCCGTCGTGTGAGTTCGGGCAGCATCTAGGGCCTCCTCCAATTCTTCAATCGTCGCCTGGTGCTCTCGAATGCTGTGCTGACAGGACTCTTCAATTTGAGCAAGCTTCTTGTCGACCCCTTGCAGCTGGCATAACCGTTTGTCAGGTTGTGCTGGGCTGTATTGGCAATCAAGACCTGCGACGTGAGCTCCGACACACGACCTTTCAACGAGGCTTCGGACTGAAGGATCGCTCGATTCTTGGCCTCCGATTGCTTAGCTTCCGCCACCGCGCCCTACATGACTCGTTCGTTTCACGGCAGACGATGGTGGGACGTACTTGATACGCTTGGGTGAGTTGCTTGAGTTTCAAGATGGACTCGGATTGTTTCAGTCGAAACTCCATCTCCACTTCGTGCAAGGACATGCGGAACTGCCGCTGGACAAGCACTTCTTGCACCTTCCACTCCTTTTCGCGGCGACTGAGCTCCTCCTGGTGCCGATGCACGACTTTATCCAATTCGGACCCTTTCAAAAATGCTTCATGGCGTAGGCTCGACACCTCCACGTGCACGTGAGATGGTTGCGATGGTTCCTGCGGTCGCACTACACAACGCCACCAACCTCTTTTTCTTTAGCAGCGTATTTTGCATACGCGTCTTCAAGCGTGTATTTGAGTTCCTACGGATCAAGCCGCATTGTCAAGGCCACGAAGTCACACCGAATGGCGTGCCTGCATGTCGGCCTTCAGTTGTCGAATTTGAGATGTGCTCTACCCGGTAATCCCATGACCTCTCTCGCCACTCGGATCAAACACCAACCTCGTCCTGTTTGGCTTGTGCAGCCGTCGCCACCTCGCGCACTCGAGAGTCGGCTTCGTCCTTGGCTTCTTTTAATGCCAACTCCAGAGTTGAGATTTGCCTCTACATAATGACACGTTCGTAACGTGCCAGTTCAGCGTACCGACATATTATTCTTGTCGGACCTTCCACTTGTCGTCGTTGTTACGGATCTGCACTTGCAGAGACTCCACCCGGCGCATGGACTCTGCGAGGGCCGCCTTGGCTTCGTCGCACTCGTCAACTTTCGCTGTCAGCTTCTCCCGATCTGTTGCTGCTAGTTGCTTTAGCAGGGCGACCGCTCCTTGTACCTCCTTCAGTTCCTTGGCCATCGCGTCGTGGTCGAGGGAAGAGGCGGATTTCTCGGCCGTGAGCTGGACCGCCCGCGTTTCAGCTCGCTTGGCTCTGTCCACGGCCTCTTGGAGGTTGGTTCGAAGTGTCTGTTCCGTCGAGTCGTCCGAGATGCACTGCACGCCTCGATTCGTGGTGTACACGTCACATTGAGTTGCCGCGTCGGCCATGGCATGCATATCAACCTGGCACACCGCGTCCTTTGCTTGCGATGGCACGGCGAAGGTCTCTTCGGCCTCTTCGTCGTCGTATTCACTTTCTTCTTGTAGTTGGGAGGGTCCTTGATGCCCTCGCCGTTTCTTTGTCTCAGCAATGCCGGAGATGGGCGGTCGTCGTTGCTCGAGGGATTGTCGGTGCATGTTTCGAAGGTTGGACGTGGCTTGATGGATCTCCGAATCGATTTCATCCATGAACGACACGTCGTCCCGGGTCTGGTGCCGCTCGTGTTGCGACTCGAGCAGGCGCAGACGAGCATCCAAGACAGACCACTCACGTCCCTACGGGCATTCCCTTAGATCTCGGCAAAAGTCACTCGACTTACGCTAGTGATGGATGATGCCGCCTCGTGCTGCGCTGGGTCCTCGACAATCGATTTGAGCGGGGTTTGTCGATATAGCTTGGCGACGCTGGAGTACTTGGGCATAGCGAGCGCTGCAATTTCTCGTAAGACGGTCACATCTTCGCCATCGAGAGTTTCCAGGGTCGAGATTCTGTCCAAGAGCATCCCAGGGTACCCTGGCGTTGCGCACACGGGATTTGACTGGCCTTTTGTAATGGTTTGAAGGCGCAACACGCGCATTGTCTACGGAAGCTATGTGATGGTGATGGACGTGGTCGAGTGACAAACCTGCAAATAAAATACAGGAGACAGCGCAGACAAGTCGGCGATCTGGTTGTCACGGAGGTCCAAGATTTCCAAAGATGGAAACTTTAGCGGATCGATAAAGCCGTCCAGCGCAGAGAGACTGCATGATCCATGTTGGCTGAGTCAAAGAAGCATTCGAGTCGAACGTGCCTGTTGTAAGCAAGGGACAGTTCTCGCAACGCCGGCAAAACGGGAAACCCAAGTGTGGTTGTGATGCTGCACCATTAAAGGGTCACGAACATACTCGCGAAGGCACATACCGATTCGCTGACAGGTTTAGCACGCATAGATGGACCAACCCACGCAACGCCGCAAAGGATGGAGACTACTGAGTATGGGTATGCATGATCTGCAAATGGAAGAATAAGTCAGTACCTCGATCCAGTTAGACGACAGAGAGAGCTCCTTGAGGCTACGTGAAGTCGGTCATTCTGAGCATGAGCAGTGTCGTTCATGGAAGCACGATCCACGCACTTGACGAAACGTTGTAGTCCGTCCATCGTGCGAATGCAGTTCCCATGCAAATTGAGCACTTGTACAGCATTGTCGTTGTTTTCCTACGTCCAACGAGGCGAGTGATGCCACGCATTCGTCGCCGTGCATCGTACTGGAATGTCAACGGCGATCGAGAAGATGTTCTTGTTCACATGGCTTTGACACGCCATCGAGGTCAAGTTCAAATTCGGAGATTGGTGATTTTCAGTAATTTTAATTCCAGGAATTTCAAGCTGGAATATTTTAAAATACTCTTGTTTGCCATGTGATTGAGATTTAACAGACACTACAGAATTATATTTTGTAGTTTTGACAGGGTGTATATTAAATAAACCTCTATAACTCAATAGGTTGTGGGCATATGCAATCTAAGAGAAACGGTGCGAACTCCACACAAAGAGCGCAGCATCAACATGAGCGAATCGCTGTATGATGAGTTCGGCAACTATATCGGGCCCGACCTCGATGATGACTCGGAGAGCGAGGAATCCGAGAAGCAGGAAGAGTCAGAGAAGGACGAGGACTCCGATGACGACGATAGAGACCGAGCACAGCCGGATTCCTCGTATCCAGGTCAATCCTCCACCGCACTGCAAACGTATCGTGAAGAGGACCATCGCATTGTGTTGCACGAAGATAAACAGTACTACCCTGATGCAGAAGAAGTATTTGGCGACGCGGAAGTGTTGGTGATGGAGGAAGATGCCCAGGCGATTGAAACCCCGTTGGTCGCCCCTGTCAAGGTGAAAGCGTTTTCGTCGCTAGAGAAAGAGCCTGTCAAGACGACGTATTCAAACGAATTTCTTGCATCGCTCATGGATTATCCGTCCATGATACGCAACGTGTGTGTGATCGGTGACCTTCACGCCGGCAAGACCTTATACCTCGACTTGCTGGTTGAGTCTACCCACGTGAACAAGTGGAAGGACCAGCAAAAGGACACGACCAAGCGCATGATGGCGGTAGATCTTGAACGGCGCTACACGGACAGTCGCGCCGACGAGCAGGCCCGCAAGGTTAGCATCAAGTCCACCCCCGTGTCGCTTGTTCTGCCGTCGTCGCGAGGCAAGTCGTATGTGATGAACGTCCTCGACTGTCCCGGGCACGTCAACTTCTCGGACGAAAGCACGGCCGCGATGCAGGTGTCGGACGGGGTCATCTTGATGGTGGATGTCGTTGAAGGGGTCATGATGCATGTAAGGATTGTCACCCGTTGTCGTCACATGACCTAGTGTGGACATCGTATGATCCCTCTAGACGGAGAGCCTCGTGAAAGCTGCGCTGTCGGCCAAGCTCCCCCTCTTGTTGATCGTGAACAAGGTGGACCGTTTGATCATCGAGCTCAAGCTGCCGCCCCACGACGCGTACTTTAAGCTGCTGCACACGATTGAAGAAGTGAATCGACTGGTTGAGGTGCACACGCCCCTGGGCGACAAGTTCAAGCGACTCTCCCCCGAGTTGGGCAACGTCTTGTTTGCGTCAGCCCAGCACGGATGGTGCTTTTCGTTGGAGTCGTTTTCACAGGTTCGACCATGTTAATGCTGCACGCATCAACGTCCTAGTAGTTGTACGCGCAACGGCAGCACGGCATCAACCCCGCCGAATTAGCCAAGCGACTTTGGGGAGATTTGTACTACACCCCCGGGACCCGCACCTTCAAATCCAAAGTGGTATGTGCGAATTTGTGGCGCTACTTGCCCATCGTGCAACCTAGCCATATGAAGGCGCCCACCGATCGTTTGTGCAATTCATCTTGGAGCCGATCTACAAAATCTACGCGCAAGTGCGGTCAAATTTTGAATCGTAAGCGACGGAGTTGAACGTGCTCGCCATAGGTATTGGGTGAAGAGGTACAAGTGTTGGCCAAGACGTTGCGAAGCCTTGGGCTGCGCGTGACCCGGGAAGACCTACACTTGAACCCTCGCCCGCTGCTCAAGCTCGTGCTGTCTCAGTTTGTCGGTCGATCGTCCAATTCCTTTGTCGACCTCGTGAGTCGGTTCATTCCGTCGCCGATGGAAACGGCGGAAGCCAAGGTCCGCGCTCTGTACACTGAAAACCCCGACTCGACTGTTGGCAAGGCCATGCTTGCGTGCGACCCGATGGGGCCATTGATGATCAACATTGTGAAGTTGTACTCGTCGTCGGACGGCACGACGTTTAGCGCGTTTGGTCGCGTCTACTCGGGCTCCGTGTCGGCGGGCCAGCGTGTGAAGGTGCTCGGTGAGAGCTACAGCCCCGACGATGACGAGGACATGGTTGTGCGCACGGTTGAAAGCGTTAGCATCAGCCAAGGCCGATACAAAGTGGACGTGAATCGCATTGTCGCGGGCAACTGGGTCATGCTCGATGGCGTCGACGGCAGCATCACAAAAAGCGCGACGATCACGGACGCGTCGGAAGATTTGCTACAAGATGATCGCGTGGGTATTTTCCAACCCATTTCCAAGCGATTTGGAACGAGCGCGGTCGTCAAGCTCGCTGTGGAACCGTTGAACCCGTCCGAGCTGCCCAAAATGTTGGAAGGGCTTCGTAAGGTCAGCAAGAGCTACCCCCTCGTGACAACGAAAGTGGAAGAGTCGGGTGAACACGTCATTTTGTGCACTGGCGAGCTCGCTGCTGACTGCATCTTGCACGACTTGCGTAAAATGTACTCGGAAATCGAAGTCAAAGTCGCCGACCCCGTCGCGTGCTTCAGCGAAACAGTTGTGGAGACGTCCTCCGTTCAGTACGTGGATGTATTCGTGCGAACTCTCTCCATGGAGTCGATGACACAAGCTCGTGTGCAGGTGCTTTGCCGAGACCCCCAACCAAAAAAACAAACTGACCATGATTGCTGAACCGTTGGACGTGGGGCTCGCCAAAGACATCGAGTCGGGCGTGGTCAACTTGAACGTAGGTCGTGCCAAGCGTCGTCATGACGACTGACGTGTATGATGCGGGTGTAGTGGCCCAAGAAGGACGTGGCAGAGTTCTTCCAAAACAAGTACCAGTGGGACGTGTTGGCAGCGCGATCCGTGTGGGCATTTGGACCGGACAGTACAGGGCCAAACGTGTTGATTGACGACACGCTGCCGTCGGAAGTGAACAAAAAGTCCCTCAACAGCATCAAGAACTCGATCGTGCAAGGTGCGCCACACTGTGGTGCGGCTCGATCTCTCACCATGCAAAACAGGCTTTCAATGGGGGTGCCGTGAAGGTCCGTTGTGCGACGAACCGATTCGAAACACCAAGTTCAAGATTTTACACGCGTCCATGGCGAATGAACCGATTCACCGCGCGGGCGGGCAAATCATCCCAACGTCCCGGCGAGTCGTGTACTCGTCGTTCTTGACTGCCACGCCCCGTGTACGAGAGAATGCGCTTGTCTTGTGTCGTTCCTTCGCGTCATGATGTGTTGATCGTGGTAGTTACTCGAGCCGATTTTCGCCTTGGAAATTCAGTGCCCGGCCGACACCGTGTCGACGCTGTACCAAGTGCTGACCCGTCGTCGAGGCCATATCACGCACGACGCCCCCAAGGCCGGGTCGCCCATGTACACCGTGCGTGGTTTCTTGCCCGTGATCGAATCGTTTGGGTTTGAGACGGACCTTCGCGTGTTCACCCAAGGCCACGCGTTTTGCACACAAACGTTTGACCACTGGGCGTTGGTGCCAGGTACGAATTGCCTGCGTCTTGGTGATGGTGGGTGCCTCACAGGGCATGGGGCAGGCGACCCGTTGGACACAACGATCATCTTGCGTCCGCTCGAACCTTCGCCGGTGCAAGCATTAGCGCGGGAATTCATGGTCAAGGCGCGCCGTCGAAAGGGGCTGAGCGAAGAAGTGAACGTATCCAAGTTCTTTGACGACCCCATGCTCCATGAACTGGCCAAGCAAGACATGGATGTCGAGAATCTCATGTAGCACTCTGGCATTAGCCTCGTGACGCCACGCGAATAGCGAATACCAGTCCACTTGTACCTCGTTCATGGGTCCTGCCATTCGTGACGAACGGTCTTGACGGCTCATGCTGCTGTCTTTGGACGCTGGCACACCTTACGTTGCGGTGACTCCAATTCAACGGACGCAACAAAGAATGAAGCGGCAAACAACCAGCATGCAGCGGCAAAGGTGGTTGCAGTCTCAACCAGGCGAGCGTGCATCCATTGTCGATTCTGTGGCACGTTGGCGATCAAGGCTGACCTGACTCGCCGATGGGATTGTTGTTTGCGGGGGACATCGTTCGAAGGGGTGAGATGTCCCAACCACCGCCGATACGTCCCTCGAGAATGAGTGCACGTGTAGCAATTCTTGGAAAGTCACGGCTCCAACAAGCCACGGCTGTCTTGACATGAAAGAGTGGGGTGCAGTGGGGTGAGCGGTGGTACCCCTCGAGTCAACGAAGTAGGTTCTGTTGCAAGTGCTCTCAAGGATCGTGTCTTTGGCATAGAAAGGGAGGAAAAAAGTGTCGTTCGTGCGAATCACGCGCCGCTGCCAGTCCGAGTGGTTGGCGGCTAGGATGTCCGGACTGGCCGGTGAATCGCACCGACAAAACAATTTGAATTTGCTGTGGCGCAGCAACGCCTAGACCACTGTCTACATGCTTGTGACGGTCGACCAAAGGCGCAGCATCGTCCCTTCACGACCGTCATCGAACGAGTGCCATCGTGACCCTGCTCATTCAACATCGAGCACAAATACGACGACGACTATCACGGCAGGAAGCTCTCTTTCTCCCCACCAACGGCCACGACAGACGTCAATGAAGTCTCCGACGCATGCGCCTTCGCGAGAACGACATGCCTCAATATTAGCCAGTCCAAATGACCACACCCCCTCCAATCTTTTTTTCGACCCAAGCATGGCGTGTGCACGTCCCATCGTGGATGACACAATGGAATTTTCGAAGGCTGCACGAAGCATCCCCTGAATAGAGGGCTGCGCTTTGACGACGGAGGCGACTCCAAAAGGTTCCTGGATGCGGCACGACTCGGAAGAAGTGGAGGTGGCGTACTGCAAATTTGCCGGGTGCTCAAACGCCAGCAGGTCGAGAGGATTGTGTCGCAACCACGGAGGCAGCAGGTGTCGCCGACTTGACGGGTGGCACAACTTTATCTTGCGCAAAGCGCTGTGCGACAACCATGGAGGCTTCGAGTATTGCATCGTGCCGGAATGCAACAAGATCGCTCTCCAGGGGTGCACGTGCCGCACGCATACGATCAGTCCAAGCGTTCACCAACAGAGTAGTTCGCGATCGGCAGTGTCCTTCAATTGGGGCAGGAGAATGGCTGTGGTGCCTGCAACGCACCTCACGACATTGTTCGTTCCGTCCTTCGAACTCGGATCGCGTCGCGTGCTTCATGCAGTGTACTACGTCGTGTTCACCCTAAAGCTGTCCAAGACGTGCTCGGAATTGACTCAGGCCCACACACAAGATTTCTCGACGAATCCGGTGGCGGTGAGTTGGAACTGAAGGCGTCACTGGAGCGATGTCGTTCAAACAACCGATAGGAACGTCGATGCATGGCTCCAACAAGCCAAATTGGTTGGTTGGTGTTTCGAGTGGACAGCGGTTGACCTCAGTCGGCCGGATCGCGAGAGAATTCCTTCTTCATGGGCAGGGGCATCCGCCGTTTCAGTTGTTCGAACGTTCGGTGTTCTGCGGGTCGATGCCGTTCAACAGATCAAACGAGTCGGTACATTGAAAAGACTTGCGCCAAATACACACCGGCCTCGGTCTTGACTGCGCCGTCATCCTTCCGCCGCTTTGGTCAAGCACAGCGCGACGATTCTGACCGAACTTGGGATAAATAATAAATAAATGCATGAATGATGTATAAACGAATGCTGAATTGGTTGATTTGGCCCAATGGCCCGCCGGATAATTCGGTCGGCAGAGGCATGTTTGGATCCGTTCCGGAGCCAAGGCAATGGAGGAGCCTCACGCGTTCAAGGATGGAGGCAGCTTGACCGGCGTAGAGGTGGCAGGTCTTGTAGCTGTGCCGCTTGCAAGCCTCGTCGCAATGGTACTCCTTCTCCGTGTTGTCTTCAAGCCCAACGATGAGCCGAATTCACGAAAGTCGCCGAATTACGGCGCCGTTTCTCATGCTGTCGACGCGGAAGAGGACGACATGATATATGCGGGTCAAGTTGCAGCCAACTACACCGCACCATGGACCGCGACTTTTGACTTGGTGTTCCTTCTGAGCATGCTAGCATCGTTCGTTGCGTTGATCGTGTCCACAAGGTTCGCTCGACCCGACCTGTGGACCAACGCACAGTTTTGGCAGGGACTGGCCATCCAACTTGCCGGGATACTGGCTGTGTCGACGGTCGGAGGCCTCATATGTCGCGGGTTTGGAATTATCAACGATGAAGGGTATCTCCTGACAACGATCAGTGCCTCGTTCAAGGTCTGTCATGCGAGATGATGGGGATATTGTTCACGTCCTGTAGGTCAATTACACTCGAAAATGCCACCACTTGGCTGCGTATATCCTTCCGCTACTGAATCCTTGGTCCATCGTGGATGGTGACACCACGCAGCTACCGTTGTTGTGGTCGTATTTCTCCATCTTGGTGTCTTTTGTGCTGCTCGTCAAACCCCTGCGCGAGAGATTCGTGTGGTGCATGATCCAGTTCAACGGCCACGATCGACCTGACGATAGGCCGCACACACTCAAGTGGCTTGTCGTTGGCAACGTCGTGCCTGGTTTTGTTCTCGTCGTGCTTTTGCATGCACTACTCGGCAATCGCCACATCCTCGTCGTCATCGTGGCCATTGCACTCATCGGAGACGCTTTGGCCGAGCTAGTTGGTAACGCGCCCAAGTTGCATCGTGCGGAAGGTGAAATCGTGCTGTAGGCGTCAACTGGGGCCGTCACAAATACGTCGCCAGTTCGTTTTGGTCGACGAGGTGGTCGATGCGGTCGTGGGAAGGTAGTGCGGCCGTGTACGTGACCTCCATTGTCCTACTCGCTTTGGGGTACGACGGCTGCATGATGATGAGTTCATGATCTGACTGGATTTGCTGTAGCTATCGCACGTTTTACTCCATGCTGCAAGTGTGGGTGGCGATGGCAGTCGTGCCGCCCCTGGTGACGTACACCGAGGCCGTGGCACCTCGCACGTTGGATACACCCGCGTTAGTGGCCGTCACAGGCGGCCTCGTGTTTGGAATCCTGCACTTGGTGCCCTAGAACAAAACCAGTTCTTCATCATCTTGGCCGATTACTGTTTGCCTGCAGACTGGTGTGGATGCACGGCGCGGCAGTCGACGGGTTTGCATATGCCGCCAGGCATGCCATGTGGTCAGGGGTGAACGGGACAGTAAACACGCTTTGCACTTGGTCCAGGTCGAGCCAAGGGTGGCGAAGCAGCGACGTGGCACTAGGCCTGTCGGCTGCGCGAACATTCAAGCAGGTCGCGACGAACGACCTGGCGGTGGCAGACACCTGTTGGTGGGAAGGCATCGAGTAGTCCCCTGCGCGGATCTTGTCCTCGAGAACCGACATAAACTTGGATTCAAATGGAACGTGGCCGGTTAGCAGCACATACACACACACGCCGAGCGCCCAAATGTCGACTTTCGACGTGTAGGGGACGTCTTTGTTGAAGACTTCGGGGGCCATGAATGGCCCCGTGCCACACAACCCCACCATGGGTTGGCTCGATTTATTTCCTGCGTCGTCGGTGCCTTGGATATGGGCGATGCCAAAATCCACAACTTTCAAGTGGTCGCCGTCGTCCAAAAGCAAATTTTCAGGCTTCAGGTCGCGGTGCGTGATGCCACGGCTGTGCATTTCGGCAAGGACCTCCACGAGCTCACGCACGAGTTGGCGAATCGTGTGCTCATTGATGGAGTTGCGAGCACACAGTGCTGGGACGAGTTGCCCTCCACGAACATACGACGTGACGAGGGCGACGGTGTTGTCGTCTTGGTACACCGCAAATAACGTCAGCACTCGAGGGTGGGCTCGCAGCTGGGACAACGCACGGAGCTCGCACTGCAAAGCGTCGACTCGACTGGGTGTGCTCAAGTACGCTGTTTGAATCACTTTCACAGCAACGATCGACTTGGGGTCAACCTTGGACTGCGCGCGGTACACGCGGCAGGTTTTTCCGTCGCCCACGACATGCAGCAGATCGTAGTCCTCTTCGACAGAGCGACGTGTGATGGCGACGATGTCGTCCTCTTCCCGCCGCCGCCGACTGCAACACGCCAACCGTTTGCACAGACGGTGCATCTTACTCCTCTTGGACAGTCAGGTGAGTAACAAGTTTGGGAATGGCTGTGGGGCATTCCCATGGGACAAATTCATGGATCCTGAAAGGTCGCGGGTTTGTCCCGTATTCTAATTATATCGCTGTCACCTTGATTGACTTGTCGCAGTCCGACCGCAGTCGGCGACAGTGGCCGGGCAAGGACAAGCGCTGGCGTCGTCGGGGAAAGCGGCCGCGCAATGGACAGCACGTCCCACTTGCCACCGATCCTGTCCGAGACATCCAAGCTGTTTGTCGCGTCAACGAAAGCGACCAAGTACAAGGACAATGTCCACTGCTTGACCGCGCGCAACCGACCCAAACCTGAGCTCGTGATGCATCGCACCAAGCCCAAAGTGTTTGCCCCGTTCATCACGCAGAGCCTCAACCACGCCCAGCACGAGACACTGAAGGAGGTGCTGCATGCGTACGAAGTCGACACGACTCACCACTGTTTGCGGTGTGTTGCCGATGCTCTATCGTATAACCTGCCTATCGTTGACTGCTTGACGCATATAGACCTGTTGATCGACTGTACTGGTACTTCGAACTGCTGGAACAACTAGCTAGCCAAGTATCCCCCATCCAGGCACTCCTGCGTCAGGTGCATGTGCCTCGTTCGTCTGTGTCCCAATTCATCGCGATGCGACATGGAGTAGGTTCAAAAAGTGCTCTGCGAAGCTGTCTACGACAGCTCTATGCTGCAAAAGCCTCAGGCCACCCGGGGCAACGAGTATGCAGTTTTGGTACATCAAGTCGAGTACAGCCATGTCGACTCGGAGCTGGAGCAGCTCCAGGCCCAGCTAAAGACAGAGGTAAGCCGCCATGAGAAGAGCTATGACCCCACCTTCGGACGTTGACGCATAGCGTGCTAGACGACTCACTACAAGTCCCAAACGGAAGAGCTCGAGTCCCTCAAAGTATAGCGCCGACGCTTCACGTGCTTTGACAAATCCGCCATTCACGTCGTTCGTAGAAACTCCTGCAAAAGGCGAAAGCGACCCAAGATAAGATGGAGGTTGAGTTGAACACGAAACCTCTCGAACTCATGGGGTCGACATGGAGCAGGAAGAGTTAGCTGTGCATGCCGATTTTCTGCAACGGGACGAAGACCTGTACGAGCACTTGGTCGGGGATGAGCTAGCGCTGGACCGGAAGGCTTCGCTCCATCGGTTGCAGCTCGTCGAGGCAAAGTCCATGCTGCAAGCCGTGACGCAAAAAGCCGACGCCATGCGAGACGGCTTTCGCGAAACAATGTGCGATTTGCATGAAAAGGAAAGAGAGAAAAAGCGCAAGGAAGAAGCGACGCAGACCATCAAAGACCTGCAGTGCGGTGCGGCGACGCCATCCCATCCTGCATGCCGCTCAAGCGAACGCGTAGAGTACACCAAACTCGTAGACGAGAGCGAGTCCATGTCGCGAGACATCGAAAGGCTCGAGAGTCAATTGAAAGCAGATCAACAAGTCGTCGTGGACAAGCGGGTAACGGGGGTAATGCGGAGCAGACCACCTTCATCGCGTGGTGCAGGTGAATCTGGAGGAGGCGGAAGCCGAGTTTGCTGAGGTCTCGGCCAACTCGGCAGACTTGCAGCGAACCCACACGCCCAGGCCCAAGTGGGACGTCATTCTTCGTGCGCTACCGGAAGTCGCGTACGTCGATCCAGCCCACCAAGGGCCCCCAAAGACCGCCGAGAAGGTGTAGTCATTCTCCAAACTGACACTCGATGACATCGTGTCAGGCTCGACACAAGAAAAGGGCACCGCTGGGGCGGACGCAAGCATTTGTCAAGGAAATGTGCCACTGGCTCCAACGGATTCATGGCGACTGCGGCATGAGTTTGCAGCTTGCTCGGGTGTGTGTGAGAATTTCGCGGTCGTTTCTACGTCGTGACACTGGCGGTAGCTCGCAAATGAATCGGAGGCTGCGCGACTGGAGCTGAGCACGCTGCAAGCACAGATGGAGCAGTTGACACGGCGGCAAAAGAAGCAAATCCTAGCGATTCCAGGGGGTGCTGCTGCTGGTCTCCCGAGCTTGGCGACGGTGGCGAAAACCGTGGCAGCGGCCACAAAATTGCTCGGGACGGCCACAGCATTCCCATCTGAATCTGCAACCTTGGTGCCTTCCGTAGCCGCTCCAAAAGACTTTATCACTGCACTTGGCACCACCCCTGAAGTAGGGACAATCCATCGAATCACGCAAGCACTGTTGTTAACGTGGTTGTGTGTTGTAGGTGCCCCAGTTCCTGCGGCATACGGGGCGCGTACGGAATCGCCACATGGCTAAGACCGAACTCGAGGTGACATGAAGCAATTCCATTCAAAGGACGTAAAGCCTGCGTAGAGGATCATTCGGACAGTCTGGAGCGGGAAGAAAGCCAAGGAAACGCACATGGGCATCAAAATCCCTCTCGTACGAAGCATCAATTACGCGCTTTCGTCGTGACACCGACGATGGGGGCAGGAGGAGTACTTGTACGAAGTTCTCAAGACCAAGTTTGGCATCCAAACCATCATTGCCGAGTGGGGCTACAACATTTTACATGGTAACGCACACCTGCGCAATGTCTCCATCAGCTCATGGGGCCGTCGTCGGGATAGGTCTGAAAGCGTTCTCGTGGGACAGCGAAGTGGAGCTCTTTTTCCTGTGCCTCACCGGAGCCGTGTCCGAAGCCATTCATGACGACCAGGAGCTCCTCTTGGACGAGTGCCGGAATCTCCTTGTGAGACGAAGGCCTGACGCCCCTCCATGTCTTACCTGCACGCCATAGCTTCGACTGAACGACACGTACCACGACGTCACGTTAAAACGCGAGCCAAAACGCGTTTACTTGGTACGTCTGATGCGCTCGTGTGCTGACTTGACCATCGACGGCAAGAATGACGTGATGGCGACCCTGCACAACTTTTTCCCGATGAAGACACCACTGCAACTCAAGAGTATTGAGCGCGAGCTGCTGCGAGAAACCAAGTTGAAAGACAAGTCGGTGCAAGGCATGGCGGGGGAAACTCTCGTTGCCATCGACGACCTCCTCCCAACCAAACTGAAGAAGGCCCATCGCGGGTACTTCGTCAAGATTCTTCGCACACAGCACTTCAAAGAGATCCAAGACTACCTGGCGCTGCTGGACCGGTACATTCTGCCGTTGCTTTCTTGTGTGGTAACGCCATGGCACAGAAAAATTCGGGAGGCTGACCTGCACGGATGCGGGCGCGTCGAGATTAACGAGATCAAAGCTGTACGTGCCCAAACTCATCACACTGTAAGCAGGTTTGTGTAGGCCATGCAATCGATTGACGTTACTGTCACTGACACATGGCTGGCTGAATGCATCTCGCGAGGCATTCCCAAGCGGCTGGTCGGCCAAATGGACATGTCGAGCGTCGTCGAGTATCGTGTGTTCTTCAAGGTACATCAGTCCTTTCCTACCTCCTTGTCCAGATATGGATGTCTCTACACGTGGCGCCCGTTGTGCTAGAAAATGAACCTCAAGCTCATGAAGCACAGCCTCAACTTTTACCCGAAGGCCCAGGTGGCGTCCATCCACTCGGCGCCGCCGACAGCACCATGATCGTCACGACCAGCCAACGGCCGTGCTTCGTTTGGAAAGGTTCAAATTCCACCAATCAGAGCACTTGGTTTTGAATATGTGTTATCCGGAATAATCGAGAAATTCAAAACCATCCTTACCAACCGCATGGAGTTGGCATTTAACAATCACTTTGATTCTTCGGGAATTGGCCATAACCGGACTTCCGAGGGGGGTGGTCCAGTCGGCCCAGTCAGTTTCGAGCATCACACGTAGCAGTCAGTCGTCATGCAAGCGATGCAGGCGCTCTTGGCGGTGTCCAACACCAAGCAGTGGCCCGAGAACATCATCAACGACCCAGATATCTTATCGCTCGACGTCAATGGCGAGTACGTAGTCTGCAAGATCTGTAGCGAGATCGACAAGGCCCGTGAAGGCTCTCGAATTGTTCGAATGAACGGCCCGTACCGGACAGCGGCGTGGGATCGTCACAAAATGCGCAACATGGCTCATCGAAAACCAGGTGACCCGCCTCTTCCCTTGCTTCCGTCGTCCGGAATAATAAAACGCCGAAAGAAGAAAGCCGACGGTACAGAAGCCGACGAGGATGCGCCCATTGCCAAGTCTATCAGCCGCAAGAAGAAACACAAGTCCGAGTTGAACACGACATTGAGCGTCGACTTGGTCGGCACGTGCCCCGGTGCGATCCCATTTGAGAAGGCCACCCTCGTCCAGAAGCACTTGCGTGCCTTCCAAATGTTTTACATTCCATCGCCGGTGTTTTCAATCCACTATGACGACACGAAGAAGTGGTTCCAGGTCCACTCGCGGTATTGCGCCAAGGAATTGGTACTGAATCGGCGCGCTGACCGCGGCCAAGCGTGTGAAGCTTGCTATCAACTCTTCACGGATCGCCAGCGCTTAATGTGGAAGCGCGTGACCAACACGGAGGGTTTACTGGCCACGATTGAAGCACTGCGGTCGACAAACCACTCGGACATCGACGCGAACGTCATCTCGAAGTTCCTCCAGACCAAATCGTCACTCTACAACACACGCGGCCTTGCGCTTCGGAAAGCCGCCAAGCTCGCCGTCGAGTACATTGTGGAGCGCCGCCGCCTGATCGAAGACATCGATTTGCTCGTGATTCCGCTGGCGCATAATTAGCTCTATGTGGAGTGGTTGATCGATTTAAATATTAGTTTGTTTATTCAAACACACGGCGAAGCCACTGGGACATAGCATTCACGTCTTTCATTTCGCTGGCACTGAAGCCGTGCACGTTGGGTGGGCGCTGGCGCTTGGCGTTGGTTTCATCGCCACCGCCGCTGCTGCCCGTCGCAGCATTGGTCGGCGAAAAGAGGCCGTATGGAGGAGGCGCGGCGCCGCCTTGAAGGCTTGGAGCCGCGCTGTCTGACGTCGTGTCTAGTGTACGCTTGATGGCCATGACGAGGATGGAAGTCCACGTGTGGTGAGATTTCGCTAAATAAGGAAGGGCGCCGTTGGATCGTGGACGGTAAAGTTGGTACAACGGTCGACGGTTTCACCGGTCGCACTGTCGCCGCCGTTTGCCAACAACTTACCGAGGTCATGGTGCGGGCGGAAAGCAATGACGAGCGTGGATGGGTGTGCCATCTCTGCACCAAGATCAACCGTACGGACGAGTCATTCAAATGCGTGTGCTGTGGACGCCCGCGAGACTACGTCACCAAGAGTGTTGCTAACCCCAACGTCGCCAAGGACCTGATGCTGCATGGGGATCTTTCCACCGTCACACGTCCCGAGCAAGTTCACGCGATGGTGCGCGATGGCGTGCTGGCTAACACGACAAGCATGGTAAGTTCGTCGGTGCTTTCAATGCCCATCCAGTGCATCAGAGGCGTTGCAAATTGGCCTGGTAGGATGGACTGACAGGCTTGCACTGCGCCGCACTCCATGGCCAAGCTGCCATCGTGCGTGCGCTTCTCCAAGAAGGAGCCGACATCGAGCGCCCTGCGCCGGTAAGGTCCATCCGCAACGTTCTACAATAGGCCATTGTGATGTAGGACGGCCGAAGGGCAATCCACTTTGCGGCCGAGTCTGGCGACGCCCCAACAGTTCAAGAGCTCTTGTCGTGGAAAGCCCAAGTCAATGTCCAGTCAACTGTGATGCTTGATCGTTTGCACTCTTGCCCTGACGGAGGGATAGGCACATGGATGGACGCCGCTGCACGTTGCTTGTTCAAGAGGTCACGCGGGCGTCGTTGAAGTGCTCATGCGCGGTGGCGCCACCGCCACCATCTCCACTGTCCATGTACGTTCCAACCATCTCTCGTTGTCCTTGTGTGACACCTCACCTGTAGATGCACCAAACGCCACTGCACTTTGCAGGTTCGATTTTTCAAAACGAGTCGCCACTTCGTTTGACCCGCTTGCCTGCAGCTGAGCTGGGCCACGTCAAGTGTGTGGAAGTGCTGCTCCAACACTCGGACGAGGTTTTGCTCAAGTGCGTCGACCGAAGCGGCGCGACTGCCATCCAAGTCGCCCAGTTTGCCCATCAAGCAGTGGTGTACGAGCTGTTGTACCTTCATCAAAGCGACAGCGTGCTCCACGATCGCATGCTCGACATGCTCTTGACCACCACGGGCAGTGCTCCACTCGTGTTGAGATAGCATGGTCTCCTTCCTGGTGAAAAAACTCAATTCACTACGGCTTCAACGCCGTCACTACGTAATCGTAACCGAACTCAAACGACCCGTCCTTCGTTGCGTCCACAGCTTGCTTGTCCAAGTTCGCCAAGTAACTCTCCATGCTCTTGGCCACGCTCTGGTCCAAGAAGAGCGACAGCTTGTTGCGACCGACGGCAATTTGCCGCATGATCATCGACGCCGAGTACTTGTTCGCGAACGTCGTGTGGGACTCCACGTAAAAACCTGCTTGCACAGCTTGACGCAAGATCCAATCCAAAGGAAATTCGCGGTACGGGCGGTGGCCGGCTAGAAGAATGCATGCATCGCGCACGCGTTGCATCTCGAGCACGAGCTTCTCCTGGTTACTTTTCGTCTTGGACGGGTCCAAGCTCATCATGATGGGTTGCAAACCGACAATGTATAGTCGGCCGCCGTCAGCTACATGGGGAAAGAGGCGGTGAAAGATCTGGTCTTGGTAGTACGGTGCGTGGCCTTCGATGGCTCCCACGAGGTAGTCCGCAATGACCACGTCAAACACTTGGCCTTCCAAGAAGGAGGGATTGTTCCAATTCCCTGCGAGGATTTCGATGTGCTTTTCGGGGAACGTCTTGCGCAGTGATACCGAGCGCGCTATGTCGCCCGTGACCGCCACGATCGAATCAATGGGGAGCGACTTGAGCCAGTTCAACGAATGGTCGCCTGTGCCTGCATCCAGCACTCGTCCCCATGATGTAGCACAATTGGGGGCGTGGCGCTCTTGCTCCTTGAGCTCAATGGACCGAAACAAGCGATCGGTCGTGGCCATGGCGGTCGGAGCTGTGCACACGCTTCGCGAGATCGCCCAAGAGGTGCTCACATAATTTGCCACCAATGCAAGCCCCACTTTGCCTCCCGTCATTGGCCCAAAAAGACCCATGTTTGCCCCACCTCGGAAATCTTCGACTGCCAACTTCGAATTGTTTTTTTGCGATTTCACAACGACATCATATCCATGGATGTGTTTCAACGGGACGATAGTTATCCCGATAGTTGGTGTTTTCATGGATTCGGACAATAGCAGGGCCAATGCGTTCCAGCGACAACTGTCCAAAATTCTGTCACCGAATATAATCACGCACGCCAGATAAACCCTTAAACTTCGATTGTAAATACATTAATTCAAATCAAAATCGGAGACCGCAAGCCATGACACGCTGCGCCGACCTGGCTGCGTGCAGTCTGTACAAGGGCTCCAACCAAATGAATCGTCAACAACTCGACAGGGAGACGAAGGAGAAGCACGACGGTGAGCAGCTTGCATCCGTCAAGCTCTACCTTGCAATGTTGTGGCCTCCAACGCTCCAACTGGAGATAATATCGAAGCAAGGTGAACCCACACGTTGGCCACGACGTTGGCTGGTGAACGGTTGACAAACATTTTTTCGAGAATATGGCTGTGCCACATCCGGATATGTAAAAAGAACACGGCTGGGTATTTTTGGTCGAAAGGGCAACCAATAAAATTGTGGGACATGTCAGTGAAAATGCATGGAAATATTTTACCGGATTCCAAACCCACCCCTCGATTCCAAACATCCATGGAAATGCTTGGCTATTGTTAGCATTATTATCCGGACGACTTGAGCGACTGAGCTGGCCCCTCCTCACTTTGCAAATCTTCTGGACGCCTCAAAGGACCCCCATCGCAACATGGAACAGATCAACGTCTACCGCGCCAAGATCACGGCCCGCCTGGAACGCTACGAGCAATTGAAGGAACTAGAAAAGCAGACTGGCGTGGACAAGTTCTATATCTTCGTCGCTATCGCGCTGCTTGCAGGTGTATTGCTGTTCGTCGTCGGCGGCGCGCACTTGATCTCCAACTTGGTCGGCTTTGTCTACCCCGCGTACATGTCGTTCAAGGCGCTTAACACCGAAACGTCTGGTGACGACACGCAATGGCTGACGTATTGGGTTGTGTACTCGGCTTTCAACTTGACGGAGCAAATCACGGACACGCTCTTGTTCTGGGTGCCCATGTACTTTTTCATCAAGATTGCGTTCCTCGTGTGGTGCTACCACCCTTCCACGTTGGGTGCCACAACCATCTATGAAAGCCTCATCAAGCCTAATTTGGCCGGCCACGTGAACCAAATTGACGGTGTGTTGAAGCAAGCGTCCGATGCTGCCAAGAAGGCGTCGAGTGCTGCCAACGACGCGGTCAAATCGGCTACCGGCAAGTTGAACTAGGCTAGATGGACACAATGCACCACCAATGCGTATGTATTTACCAACCTGCTGCAGCCCGTATACCGGACCGATCCCATGTAATTGCAAAATGCAGCTCGCCTCCATTTCCATCATTGCGTTGAGTTGTCACCAATTGCTGTGCCATCGAGTTTCTGCACAAGCAAGCCAATGCCGACTTGAAGTCCGCGCCTTTGTGAGTCCTCAGGACTTGTTTTTCTATGCATGCTCTTTCTAGGTCGATTTAGTGATGGAAGAAAGGTTTTCATGAAGTACAAACTAGTCTTCCTTGTACTCGTCTCCCATGGTCTCTTCGATCATGCCCTTGAACTCCAATCTATCACGACGATCGTTCAGGGATTGATGAGTAGGCATGCTTGGGCTTTCACCGGATCTCGGTCACATCATCGCCTTGCAAGGCATCCTTAGAAAACTTGGCTTCGACGCGCATTTGAACCTACTTGCATCGGTAAAACCTGCTTGAGGGTGGTATCGAGCACCATTTCAAGTGCCCCACGGAGGACCCCACACAGAATGTTCGAGTACGACAGTACGCCGTGTGCATGAGGCGGCAATTCGACGAATTCTACGCCGTCAGCGATGTGAGTCTGGTCACAGATACGACCGCTGACGTACCTGACAACGGGTTCTCGTACAAAATCAAGTGAAACACGTTTGCCGTGTCGGTGGGCACGACGTCGACATTGATGCCGAAGAACATCTTGAACGCGACTTTTGCCACGACTTCTGTCGTGTCCTTAAAGTCGGCACACGCGGTCACTCCCGACTTTGCCAGGAACTCGTCGATGAGACGAATACCAATGCCATACCCCATCACTTCTAGCTGCGCGTTCACTTCCTTCAAGTCTTCGAAGTCTTGAATGAGCTAAGTTGGAGCATCCATGGTACCAGGAACACACACTATGAATTTCTCAAGTACCTGCGTGACCAAGGCGCCGTAGGTCAGCGCAAAGAATTCCGCGTTCTATCGAGAATATCTTTTAGTCCCTTCGACATCACCTGCTCGTTCATGAAGGACACTCACGACTTTCGGCACCTTTGCCCATGCTGCTTCACCCGCACGGACACGAGACATGCCTCCGTTGAAAAAATCAATCTCGAGTCGGTCGGGCAACATCCGGAAGCCACTTGCTTATCCGGAATCCCATTGAAATACTAGTAGGCTCAAAATCCTAGTCTACTCCGCGCGGACTTTTTGCGCATGGCCCAGACACGGACAGATCCATCGCCGGTCCCTGCGACAATGCTCTGGCCGTTTCCGCTCACGTTCACCGCCGTCACCGCGCTCTTATTCGAGTGCGGAATGGACACGGTACACGCCTTCAGCACGTTACTATCGCCTTCGTTGAGTTGCCATATGTACACCCCTCCGTCGTCCGACCCAGTCAGCGCATATTCGCCATCCGATACCATACAGCTAAGGAGGTTGGTTAGTGTATGTGCAATCGGTGCATCGTTGAGCATACCCATGAACGTCCTTGAGGGGGGCTTGAAGGGTGCAGACCGAAGCTCCGTTCAGTGCAAACATCGCCACCACATTCGTCGACGTCATGCACGTGAAGGTGGCACCTGTCATGCCAAATCGAACTGTTTGAATCTTGATGTCGCTCGCACGAATCTGGGAGATGAGTTCGTTCGATCGCAAGTCGAACACGCAGACCGATCCTGTTGTGACCATGCAATTGAACGACCAGGTAGTAGTGCTTCAACGACCTACCTTCCTCCGTCCCCACGAGTGCAATTGTCCCATCCGAATTCACGTCCAAGCACGTCAAGGCAGAATCGCACCCTTCGTACACAAAAGTAGGTGTCGAGAGCATGCCAATGGGGCCGTATTGCCAGATCTACCACGGAGTTGCATCCTCCACCATGCATGGGAGTTCCTCACCTTCATCGTGCCATCCAACGAGCACGTGACAAACTTGGCGTCATCGACGACACAAACGCCTGTCACGGCCGCTGCGTGCGCCGGGCTGAGTTTCCCCACTCGCCCCGTCTCCAGCGCAAACATGTGCACATCGAGGTCGGCCGTGCCAAAAAATGCATACTTTTCATCCGGGGAAATGTCCATACACAGCACGGGACCTAGTTACCTTGGAGTTCATCCTGGAGCGCTCAATCTTACGCTTACCTCCGCACGTATAACTGCGTCGCACCACGCCGTCCTCACTCGACGACACTTTGAACGTTCCGTCGTGCGACGTTGAGAAGACTGTCTTGATGTCTTTCGAAACATTCACGCACGTGATGGCCCTAGAACACAGTCGAGTCGAATGCAGATGATCGTGCAACCGGTGCAAGTACTGGGAATGTAGGAAATGCGGAAGCGATTCGTCCCACATGGAGGTGGTCGTTGCATCAAACGACCAGCCCCAACTTGTCCTCTCCATCCGTCGCCGAAGACTGGCCGTGAGTCCCGTCACGTTTTTGGTCAGACCCGTGAACTTGCTCAGGGTCGGCCGCTTGAATCCCCACGACGAGGTGCGGAAGGAAGGCGCTGGCTCAGGATCGTCTACTGCGGGAGTAGCATGTGCAACTGGCACAGGAGCACGAACAGGTGACACTGCTGGTGGCGGCGGTACCACCGGCAACGGCGGGACGACGTCAAGTGGAGCCAGAGTGACATCCATCCCGAGTTGAGATCGCGACGGATGCGGACTCTTGAATAAGAGCTTTGGTGTTTGGCCGAATTCTTGGATCTGCGCCTCGAAAGAGCATCGCTCGACGGGGTCTGTGATCGTTTCCAGGTTTACCGCACCTTCGTACGACAAGTAGTAGAACACTACACATGGATGAGGTGCCATTCGACTCGTGGAAAATATGTACGATTGTTGGCGGCCACGGCTTCCGCGCCTTGCTGTTTGTAGCCAAAAATGAGATCGATCCACTCGTGCAGATGCTCCGACACAAAGTCACACTCGAGCGCTTGGCGGTTCTTCTCGACAAAGTCATGGGCGTTGTCTGCCCATGGCGGGAGCTCGACATCACCAACCTACGCATTGCTGTGATTGCATCGAACAACCACACGCGTGACGATACGCGAGACAGGTTTTGGGTCGTGCCCAGGTCCAAATTGCGCGTATTTTGGAGCCATTCAATCAAGGGGGGGTTTTCTGTGTCATAAAAAGCTGGGATGAGTTCCTTCAAGTCGGCGTGATTGGTTAGGCAGCTCTGATAAGTGCCAGCAATGCTAGAGATGGACGCAGAACCATGTCAGCGCGCCTTGCAACATCGTCAACACGGACCTCCGAAAGAGCCGATCCGGCGCGTCAAACTTGCCGTTCTGTAAACACAGCATGTACTCGGGGGCCATGCGGACCAAGTAGAACAAAACATAGCCTGGGGTCGAGTAATGCGTGCCATACAAAAACGGCGGTGGCAGGCCCTCTGCTTCCATTCCTGACGGCATGTTTTGAAATCGTTGCTGAAAGTACGCTAGTCGATCGGCATTGAGGGCGCCGACTGGCTTGGACAGGTCTCTGAACGTTTGTGAATTCGTCAAGTCCAGCTTGTCAGACTTGTAGTCGGCGATAACCCACGGAAACACAGGGTACTACTCAACGACGTTGAGTGGCGACGGCGCGTCACAGGGCTTTCAAGGAATAAAGGGGTACCTGCGTCAAGTCGTTGGTCGTTCGGCCAGCTTCGTCGTTGAGGAATGAGAGGTACTCAAAGTTGGACACTTGGCGGTGCTGCCACTTGAGCAGCATTTCGCGGGTGCAATTCTGTTTCAGTTTTTCATTTAACCCAGGTTGTTTGACCATCATGGCGTAGATTTCGTCGCGGTCTTTCATCGTGCGAAACGAATAAAAGTAGCTCTGGCGATCTTCCAGCAGCACTTCCAACCCGCATTGCTTGAGCATGTGCCGGCGTTTGTGCAGTCCCACCACCTAGTTCGACACGACGGGTTAAGAGTTGCATCAAGCATGCAGGTCTCCTTCTTCTACCTTGGTGTATTCGTACATGAGGACGGGGTCGCCAATGTTGTTGATCTGCGCAGGCTGAAAGTACACTCTACAAGTTGCACGTGAGCGCGCGATGGTCCCACCGAGGTAACGACCTCTGGTTTGTGAGCATCATTGCTCCTGGAAACTTCAGCAACGGGACGATGCGATCCACAAGCTTGCACTTGGATAAGAGCGGTCGTTCTCGAAAATCGGCCAGCAAACTGTCAAGTTTGGTCAGGTTTCCAATGTAGTATGAGGATGGACATGATGCTCATACCTGGCGTCGAACACATCCGTGTGGCGAGGCTCGAGCACAGGTGCCAAGAACCGTTCTTCGTCGATCTTGTTAAGAACGTTCTTCTTGTGCGAGAGAGACCAGAGGGGGGCAATGGCTTCGAGGAAGTCGGGGAGCTTTGAATGCACAAGGGAGAAGATGACTTTCGTGCTGTACATGCTCGAGTCGGTCAACACGCGATGTGTATACGGGTGATCGACATTGCGTTCCTTCATCTCGATCACGGAGTTACACTCAAACGACAGATACATCTCGTTCGTTTCGTCGTCAAAGACCTCGGCGCATGGAGTCACATTCATGTCTCGAAATGGAAACTTCAAAATCGGTTGCATGATGTCTTGCGGCTCAAACATAATGCTGCGTGTGCACAATTTCAAACGCCCTTGCACCTTCCTACGACGAAAGTGAGCAGACTGAAGGTACGCACGCTTCAGCATCATACCTCTGGATGCAAGAGTCAAACGTGAGGCACTGAAACACTGGGTCTGGGTACTTGAACACGCTAAGGTCCTACAACGACCGCCGATTTGACCTGCTGGTTGAGCCACACATGAGAGCACGTACATCAAGGAAGAATTCTCCATCTTCCAGCAGCAAGAGGCTGAAGCGGGAGTTTCCGCACTTGTTCCCGAGCGCCTGCCGCTTTGACGCCAGCATGCTGGTAGCGATGTGGATATTTTCATGCAATTGCCCCATCCGTCCCCATGTCAAACTTTTAGCCAATCATAATCTAAAGATTGCAATTTTCGATTATTTTAGCCAATTGAATGCGTCCAGGTCGAATTATCGATGCAAGTGTCTCTACGAAAATCAAAAATTCAGAAAGATCGTCGCAAGCATGACGTCCATGCATCAATCACCATGTGACGAGAACTAGCGCACTTCGGGTCCGTCATGATCGCTTGCAGTTTTCACTAAGGGAGTTTGGCCTGCTCCAGGATCTCGCGAATGCACGAAAGAATTCTGTGCACTGATACAGTCACCTCGTCGTCGACATGGTTGTCCCGTTGGTTGTCCCGTCGACTCTCAACACGTATTATCCTTTCGAAGATATAAAACACGGATGTTTTTGACGAACTTTGAAATGCAAAATACGGTCAGATGTGCATGTGGTAATTTCCTTTCACTGAGGACACATGCCGGCCACCGTCCATCGAGCAGCAGTCGCCGACATCGACCGCATTGCGCCGTTGTTCGACGGGTACCGCATGTTTTATCGCCAACCCAGCGACATTGGACGGGCGAAGACGTTCCTCTTTGACAGGTTGAGCAGACAAGAATCGGTTCTGTTCTTTGCAGTCGACGACCAAGGCTGCGCTGGGGGTTTTGTACAATTGTACCCTTCGTTTTCGTCTGTGACGATGGAACGCGTGTGGATCCTGAACGATCTCTTCGTGGTGCCTGCAGCGAGACGGCAAGGGATCGCCAAGCTCTTAATGAACCACGCACGGGACTTTGCACAGGCCGACGGGGCCAAGGGACTATCTCTGGAGACCGACCACGACAACTACGTTGGACAAGGTTTGTACGAGGCACTCGGGTATGCCAAGAGCACCGGGTTTCACTACTTTTTGAGCCTCAAGAAACAAGCGTGACGGGCTCGACGCAAAGTCAGCAGTCGTACATTGCGATAGCATGCATTTTTGAGCACGCGCAGCTAGAAATCTTTGACTTTCTCAAGACACGGGCGAGATGTGTCGAGCATGGGTCAGCGACGTCGTGATTAAAAACGTATCGTGTTGGGGTCGCAGCTGTGAAGTCGCCGACTTCGTCGGGTGCAATCATCTACTTGGACGCGGAAATATATAGCACTACCCAGCACGGATGAGACTCGAGACACTTGACAGCGATGACGGCTTACCGTTGTTCCCTCGAATGAAGCAGTCGCCGTACTGTGCTTTGAGCTGGCCATTGACGAACTCTTGCGTCTGCTCCATCGCGATGTTCATGAATCCGTCCAAGCACGCCAATACGCCTTTGTACTCGACTCCGTTGTTCAGCTTGACGTCGACGGGACGACCCAGCACGCTCTTCAAGAAGTCCGACGGCGGCTTCTTCTCCATCTTGATTGGGATTATGGCACTGCCACACAGAAAACCTACCACATTTTGTATAATATTACACAGTACACGAGTTCTGTCGAGACGGCGGGGTGCAATAATGGCCGATGAGATCGATCCGCTGGATGCATTCATGCTTGGGATTGAAGCCCAAGTGGCGCAGGAGCGCACGTCCCACCGAGAAACAACGGCGATGGAGAGGTGTTCGTTTGAAGAAGAGGTCAAGGAGTCCAGGATTGCTATCGGGAAAGGTACCGCGGCAACTGCAACCCAGCCCAACCAAGTATTCGAAGACGACGTGGAAGAATGGAACCGACTGAACAAGAACCAAGACATGGAAGAACTTGCTCCACTTGATCACTCGACCGTGGCGTATGAATCATTTCGGAAAGCATTCTATACGCCCGCCACGGCACTGAATGCAATTGAAATTTCCCAGCTTCGGCGGGAGCTCGACATCCGTGTGGAGCTCCGCCCAGGCGACGTTGACATTGCCCCTATCCGATCTTTTATGCAAGCTGGATTTAGTCGTCAACTGCTGGCGCTTCTCATGAAACATGGATTGGAAGCTCCCACACCTATCCAAGCGCAAGCGTTCCCATTAGCAATGTCTGGTCGCGACATGATTGGCATCGCTCAAACCGGGTCGGGGAAGACTCTGTCCTTCCTCTTACCCATGATGGTGCATATCATGGACCAGCGACTACTTGAGAAGGGTACGAAAAGGGGGCCGTTCTGTATAGCGGCTTCTAACGAGTTTGAATAGACGAAGGGCCGATAGCTGTGATCCTGTCGCCCACACGAGAACTTGCCCACCAGATCTACGTGGAGGCCAAGAAGTTTAGCATGGACGCGAAGTGCGCGGCCATTTACGGTGGTGCTGGCAACAAATGGGACCAGATCCAGTCAATTCGAAAAGGTGCCGAGATCGTTGTGGCCACACCCGGCCGGTTGATGGAGCATTTACGCAAACGAGTGATCAAGAATCTCCATCGTGTGACTTTCGTCGTGCTGGATGAAGCCGACCGTATGTTTGAGATGGGGTTTGAGTCGCAATTGAGGTCTATCTTGGGGCAGGTAGGAACACAGCGTGCTGTCATGCCTTTGGGCGACTTTTCTCGTGAATATACCGTGTGTTTTTTCTATCGGTAGATTCGCCCTGACCGGCAAACACTGCTCTTTTCAGCGACATTTCGCCGCCGCATTGAAACGCTGGCGCGCGATGTCCTGACCAACCCGGTCAAGATCATTGTCGGCACTGTCGGGCAGGCCAACGACGAAATCAAGCAAATGGCCGTCGTCGTTCCAGTACCAAAACTCACGGATCCCAAGAGTTTTCGATTTTAATCCGATTTGGACTAGACAAAGGAGGCCAAGTGGAATTGGCTCATGAAGAATCTCCCTATGTTGACGGAAGAAGGGAAGCTGCTCATTTTCATCGGGTCCAAGGCAGGGGTCGACGAACTGGCCGCGAGCTTGAATGGACTGGGCGACGTGTACCCGTGCGTATCGCTGCATGGAGACAAGTCCCAGTTTGATCGTGCCGACGCGTTGCGGCGTTTCAAGTCGGGCAAGTGCCCGATTTTGGTTGCCACCGACGTGGCGGCGCGGGGACTCGACATCAAGGATATCAAGAATGTCGTCAACTACGACGTTGCTAAAAACATTGACACGCACGTTCATCGCATTGGGCGAACGGGGCGCATGGGAATCGACGGGGTATCGCCTGGGACGGCGTATACGTTGGTCACACCCAAGGACCAAGACTTTGCCGGGCACTTGGTCAACAATATGGACTTCACCAACCAACCGGTAATAACCTGACTGCCATGAATACACAAGTCCATCCGTCGTGACGTGCTTGCGTTAGGTATCGTCGGAGCTCTTGGCGGTCGCGTCCAAGTCGCAGCATTTCCAGCGAAAGAACCCACGTCCCGTCCATGCGACATCGTCGTCTTGTGTTGGAGGGAGCTCCTTTGGTGCAACGTCGAGGCGGGATGAGTTTGATGCCGATGATTTAGCCGAACGCGAATCGTCCGGCTTTTTCCAAACCCGGCCCAAGACAAAAAAAGAGCAGCGTCAAGGTCTCGGGTTTGGCAGTAACTCCACCTACCAGCCCCACCGCGGACAGGGCAGCGCACCTCCTCGGGGGGCAACGAACATGATGGGGTTCGTAGCAGCCACAACCACTCAGCCTTGCCCGTCCCCACCCCATCCACGCCGACTCGACCCAGTTCTGCCATCCAACCCACCGAGGAAAAGCAGATGGGACCAAGTTGACGAAGACGATCACGAGCTTGCTGCCCTGCCACCGGCGAAACGAAGTCGATGGGACCAGAGTTGATTGCAAAATGTATACATATTGGGCGTTCTTTTCATATTCTATCCTTCCGTAAAATGAATCTACCACATGCATATGTCCTAAGCGTCGGGGGTCGTCGTTGTGGTGGCCGCCGGTGCGGGTGGCGGCACGTCGTCAAAGTTGGCAAAGCTTTCCCTGCTCGTATTCCACATCAGGTCACGTCAACCAGTCAAACGTACACTTGAGGCGGAGCAGCGACGTCGGGTTGGTCAAAGTTCGCCCACGACGTGTCCATGGATTTGTCTGCTTCTTCCATGACCAAGTCGGATGAGTCCAATGGAAGGACCGGGATCACGTCGTGTCGGTGGTTGCTGAGGTGGATCGATCGCGGGTCGAATTCAGTAAAGTCTTCTTCTTCATCGCTGCTACTGCTGTCGCTGATCATGGCAGGCATATCATTGTCATTGGGCAGGTCGAAGTCTGTGTCGAAGTGGCTGTGGTCGCCGCTTTCGAGCATATCTGCAAACGATCCAATCGGCGGGTGATCAAAGCGGCCGATGCCGTACGGGTCGTCCTTGTGCATTTGGTCAGTTGCAATAAACGTTTTAAACGGAGACAGGTACCACAGGGTGCGACACAACCGATCCGCCCAACGCATGTCGGTCCTTTTCATTCGCAGCGGCGATAGTCGTTTTGACAAACTCTTCCCACTTGGGCCACGATGGATCCGCTTCGAGGTACTCGACGATGCTGTCGGCATGTGTCATGTCATTTAACGATCCACGGCTGTCGACACCCTTGACTTCGTCTGTGATGTTGACAATCATGTTGCAGATGCGCAGCAAGTGACCCATGTAGCCCTTGGCATTGCCAAGAGATTCGTGCACCGCCGCCTGGAGGACGTCCATGAGCACAACAATTCCATGAGCTTGACGATATTTACATCGTTGGTTGCATAGGCGTCGAGAATGCGTTCGAGCAAGTTTGATTGCTGCAACAAACCGACTTGGAGGTCTGGGCCACCACTTTCCAACACCCCGATCACAAGCGATTCAATCTCGGCGTGGAGCATGTTGACCGACTCAAACTGGAAAAACAAGTCGAGGCACTGCGAAATGATGTTCTACGGGCCAACAAACAGGCGATGGAAACAAATCATCGCGTGGGACAACACGCCTCGCACCTCGGACAGAACGACAGCGTCGATCGCGCGGTACTTGGCTTGGATTAACACGACTAGCAAACCGACGAGCTTGAGTCGGCGAAGACCAAGCTTGGGCACAGTTTGATGTCGTTGGTTCACCGTCGTGCCAGCATCAGCCCGCAAAGCTTGGGATATCTAACGTCGCCAGTCAGCAATCTGCACATGTCTTGACCAAAATGGCACATGTTCCTCACAAACCTGGGGCAATCGAGCGATCGTGGCAGTCACGACCACGGGGGTTTCTTCCGGTGTCGTCGAGGAGTAGTGGGTATTGGCATGGCGAGACAACAGCGCGCTCTAACCACAGGTAGCAGCGTCACACGGTCGTAAAGTACCAAAAAGACTAGGTCGCACCAGCACGGTCAACGCCGACGTCATCGATGTCGAGTACGAGTTGTCGATGGGTAGAGCCAAATTGATGATTTTTTCGACTGTGTCCGCCGATTCGATGTATTCCACGAGCGTAGCCGAGGCGGGGGCGGGTTCATTGGCCGACACCCGTGTGCCATAATGGATGATGTCACTCAGGATTTCGGCACAGTGCTTGTGCACGTCGCTGTCGATGGGCTCGTTCGCGTCATTGGTCGGACGCAGGTTCTCAATCAATTTGTCCACGACACGACGGTCAGTTTGCCACGACAGAACCCCCTTGGACTGCGGTGTGCCCACGGCGCTCATGTCGTCGTCGTCGCCGGAAAACCATGGCCCGTTGGAGTTGTATGGATGCGAGAAGTCCATGTCGTCCATGAAGTCTACAAGTGCCTGTTTTACATCTTGGCGACGTTGGGGAGGAGCCTACCGCCCTGGTTTGGCTGCATGATACGCTTAAACAATTCGGCGATCGAGTACGACACAGAGTGCTTCATGAAGCCATCGAGCAACGTATCCGCATTCTTGTTCAGGACTTCCGTGACTTCGTACGACTTGCGGACCATCAGGACCGACAAAACCTAGCATGGGGAGTCGATTCATCGAAACGTCGGCGCTGTGGGAACATGCATACGGCGAACCTTCTCAAAGTAACCCGCAATACGCGGATCCAATGGCGCAGGTTGACGGAGCAACTGAAACAGATCTTCGATGATCGCGCCGCATGAGGCAGTGGCCAACGTTTCCGTGATGCACATAATATCGCAGCACAGCACTTCACTCGACATGAACGGATACCTGTCGATGCGAGCATTCGTGAGAGACTGGTGCGAGCAGCGCTCGCGAATGTAGGAACATACTTGATCGAAATCATGTCCCCGTCGTCTTCCTCCGACTTGCGCGTGACGTAGTGCACGAGTTTGCGCACCGTTTCTTCCTTCGACAAGCTAGGAAAGGCCAAATGAGGTCGGTATTTTGTCGGATTCGTGAAGAATTGGCCGCACAATTGCAAGAGCTTGATGTTTCTCGACTTGACTTCTTGAATCAGCTCGTCTTCTTCAAGCACTTGCTCTAACGTGAAGTCGCCTTTTTCCAACAAGTCCGACAGAGGGCTACGCCCAATGCATGAACACAAACACGCGTGAGGGGGGTGTCCACGGTGGTCGCGTACGTCGCACGGCAAGCCATCAACTGAGACACGTGTGGCATACGCATCCTCACCTAGAGATGTTGAAGAGCGAGCCGGCCGTGGACCACATGCTGGAGTTGTTGTCTGACGCGAAAAGGGACATCGCGGCCTCCTGTTCTCAATGAGTGTGGAGGCGACAAGGAAAGGGTCTTTTTAATGGCCCACGGCGAGCCAATACAAACGAAAATTCCGATTTTCTATACCAATGTCAAGTCGGAAATTTAAATATATCGGAATGTCTGCCGCAACATTTGGAATCCGCAGGTGGAACGATTCCACTTGTGTAATATAATTCCCGGTTCTTAATTCCACCAACCGTCGTGCATTATTCCAGCATGTGCGTGCAACGACGGTATTTAATTACTTGAGAATCGCGGTTTGGTGGATGAGAAGCGCCATGGAAGTTTCGTGCAGTCGGTAGCGCCGAGGGCTCTGGCCCGCACATCTTGGTGTCTTTCCTGCTCCTTCCACGGGATTCAAGGTACTGGATGCACGACATCGAGTCGCTTGGTCCTATCCTCGCATTTGCTGTTGACATAGGCACGACATATGCCGAGTTTTTCCTGATGTCATTGATGGAACAGACTGTATGTGCCCCCATGATCTTCGGTAGACAACGCTCCCCACTCGCGAGGCCTCGGACATGATCCGAAGTCGTCCTCATCCTGCATATCCTATTCGCCACAGGACATCGTCATCGAGTGTGGTGTCTCCTTCAACAGCGTCTCGTCGATGCCAGTGTGTCCGGATAAAATTACGTGGCATTCCCGACAGTTGAAGGACCAACATGTCCACGGCCATGGCACACAATGGCGACTGAAGGAGTTGGTGCGCAGAGTGCGATGAGGAGCGGTCTCGGCCTACGCTTGCGCTGGTCGGCAACTTCAGCACAATGGAAGGGTGGCTTGGGTGGGTGACGGACCGTCGGGGTTGGCAACACCAGACAACGACAGATCATGCGAGTTTTAAGTGCTACAACATGGATCGGGGTTGCTGGAAGGATTCGCGGTATCCACGTCGCGGAAGAAGAAGAAGCCGAGTCCTACCCCCAAGAGCGCTGCGATGAAGAAGCCCGACTCGTAGCTCATGACGACGAGCATGAGGAAGTACGCGAGAGCCATCATGCCCGTGTACGACGTCGCGAGAACCGCCTTGGCACGCAGTGGCAGGGACCGTCGTCGCAGCGGCCGTTGTTCCACAGGCAGGAGTTTATCTTCCAACGTCGAATTCTCCACGTCGTAGAGTTTCTCGTCCCTCGCAGTCGCTTCCGACATGGGCAAACCCACCGAACTTACGAAGCGTCGCTGCAATCTGTCTTGAAACTCCACCCACCATTCGAGCAGCATGCCCATGAGGACAATGCCGAGAAAGCCGACACCGTACTTGACTTCCGAGTTCAACACCCACCGTGGAAAGAGCAATCGCGGGCAAATGCCGTGAAACGCAGACTGGAAGCCGTCGTACATGGTCGTAGCTCCTTGGCAGTACGCACTTGTGTCGTTGGACGGGGAGTAAATGAAGACGTCCGCCTTGGATGCAATGAACCTTAGATGGAAAGCATGGTAGAAGGGAGTTTACGGGATTTGTTGAAATGGTCGACGCATGGTGCTCGGAGCATGCAAAGATCATCTGGTTGCCGTGAGGCCCCAAGTGAACAGCGTGAGTGATACTGCTATCATGGCAGACGGGGCAGGCGACGGTGGAGTTGGCGTACGGTGCTGGCAAGGTCGAAATGGCGGAAATCTCACGTACAAACGATTTCTACGTTGTCCGATGAGCAAGATTGGCACAGCGCATCAAGCGAAGCTATGCATGAACCTACGGGATTCGACACGAGTTGCTTGAGATGGCCTGCCATTTTGCACGCGTATAGCACTTGACTTCCACGCAAAAGTTGGTTCGGTTTTGGTTGCACCACCATGTTGCACACAGGGCAAAATGTTTCACTGAGATCTTGCTGGATGAGAAGAGTGTGATCGACTTGGGCTATGCTAAGCGTCACCGTCACCGCCAGGAGGAGCCATAGCGTCACGGCGTTCGTTCCAAGGCACAGATGCATCGTCGACATGGATTGTGCACGTTGGACGTTTTGTCTTGCACCCGAACCGAATTTAAATTGATTGCCAATACAAACAATGAGATAATTCGTTGAAACACATGCATCGCATATTATAATTCGAAGATCTTTCGTAGGAATTCTCTCCACGATCAGGCAGCACATAGCCCGTCGGCTCGACCCGCGCCCAGGACAGGAAGGTCAACGCAGCGTGAGGAATGCACGGCCGTTGTCGTACTTTCCGTTCACGAAGGACCCCTTCCACTCGACGCCATCCTTGTCTTTATAACAGCCAGTGCCATGCATTCTACCAGTCCGATGAAATCAGTCACACGGATGGGCACAACGTCCAACCTACTTGCTGTGGGACCACTGCCCGACATACGTCGCGCCGTCGCTCCATCGATACTCGCCGTCGCCGACAAACAGGTTGTTTCGGAACTCCCCCTGCATCGATTTACCCATCCACTTCTGCGCAAACGAGCGAGATGTGTACCTCAAAGAACGCTCCCGATGCGAAGTAATACACCCCCTTGCCTTCCATTTGATCTTTCTGCCATGCTCCCGTGTACTTTTCGGGGCCATTGATAAATGTCCCCATGCCGTGCCGCATCACAACTTGGTTGAAACTTTGATATTCCCCTTCTACAGATCAGCGTGACATCAAAAACACCATTGATCGACCTCACCATATCGACTCCCGTCGGGGAAGTGGAACGCTCCAGATCCACTTGTCTCCGGCACGGAATCCACGACGGGCTCTTCCACGACGTCGGCCACGGCAGCTGCCTTTTTCGACATCGTCTTCTCTGGCAATTCGCCGCCTTCAAGTCCTGCAACTGCCTTGAAACTGCCGTACACGTTGCGTCATCGCTTCCTCTGCGAGATTGTAGAAAGTGAACGCCCACGCTACCTGACACAGAAGACTTGACCATACCTCATGCGGTCCCGTCGTAATTCCTGCGACGCGGTCGCCGGTGCCTCGGATGGCCGCGTCGGCAGTTCGAGGGGGGCAGATCTGTAACCGACTCTGAAACGGTTAACTTGGCGAATTTGCCCGTAAGTGCGGCGATGGCGGACGAGTTGGTACGATTGTGTGGCTCGAGCGATGACCCTTCCCAGCATGCTGCATAGGACCGTGGCCAAACCGGCCTAATTATTCCAGGCAATACCGTCAAGTCGTTCCGATCGCGGGTGACCAACTTGGAGGCCATCTCGTTGTGCAACACGATGGTCGTGGCTGAGGTGAACGACTTGTACGAAGTCGACCTTCAGTACAACAACGTCGGTGAGCTCGACGACGACGATCCAGAAAACCATCTGAATGCAGCTCGAGCGATTGCCAAGCTCTTCCTGGTGGGAGTGGCCGTTGTTCGTGGCGAGTGCACAGTCTTGACGCGTACTTAGAACTGCGACGGCTACACATCAAACCTCGTCAACGTCAACTTGGCCGGCAACGCGCTCAACGACGAGTGTGCCCGCATCTTGTGCACGGCGCTGGCCGAGAACAAGACGATCCGTGTGCTAAACCTGCGCCGAAACCCCCTCGGGAACGAAGGAGGGCTCCACGTTGCACGCATGCTCGAGATTAACTCGAACCTTGCGGATCTCGACATTGGAGACACTGACATCGGCCACGGCAGTTTGATTGCGATCTCGGGAGCTCTCCGCCACAACACTGCCCTCGCCCGCATCAACTTGGACAATCCAGTACTCAAAACGCTCGAGGTCTGGCTTGTTCTCTGCTGCAAAACTCGATGCTGACCCCACTTTAGGAAGAAGCACTTCAACACGTGGGTAAAATGCTCCAGGTCAACGCGACGCTGACGCATGTCAGCTTGTGCAAGCACCAGATCACAGACGTCGGTGCCCAAGTGCTAGCCGAGCGCCTCCTGGACAACCATACCCTCACGTGTTTGCATCTTCGTGCAAATCGTATCGGTGGCTTCGGTTCGGAAGCCCTGGCAGCACTGCTTCTCAGTGACTCGCGCATTGTTGAACTCGACTTGACTGCCAACCGAATTGGCAATGACGGAGCACAAGCGTTTGAGACTGTCTTGGGGGTGTCCACCCGTCTGCAGGTGCTGTGTCTCGGGCACAACTCGATTGAAGACGCGGGGTTGGCCCGACTAGCCAACGGTGTCGCGCGCAACTCGCACTCGGCACTTACCAAGTTGATCGTGTGGGGCAACGACTTCGGCGACGTCGCTCCAGAGCAATTCCACAATTTGTTGCAGCACAACGTAGCCTTGCACACGGACGTCCAGACGTATGTTGTCGACGGCAAGGTGCATGTTGCTCAAAAGGATTCGACAAAATAACGAACTCGAGTCTTCCATTCGTGCATTCGAGTAGTTGTCAAGGAATCTAAGTATAGATTGCAATGAAGACGGCCGCGATGGGCGCGGCACTGGCCACGTACCTCCACGCCAAAGTGTCGTGGCCCCTCGAATCGGTCGTGCTGGGGCGGGACTACTCGCAAGTTCAGTCGCAACGGCAGACCTTGATCTCGAATACTCAGCCGAACGAAGCCGGCAAAAGTGCACCTCTCATTGGAGGCGTGGTGGTGAACCCCTTGAACAGCACCATTCTCGTGTGTGACGTCCGCCACGCGTGCGTCCGCGTGCTCGATGCGGCGACGCTGCAGCTGCAGCACACAATCGGAGGGAAAGGTGGGAACCCCGGCAAGTTCCTCGAGCCGCATTGCATCGCCATCCATGTGACGGGAACGATAGCAATCTCCGATGCCAAAGTCAACCGAATCCAAGTGTTTTCCATCCACCACACGCTCCTCGCGCACTTTGGAAAGTTTGGGTCCGAGAAAGGGCAGTTCAACCACATCTTGGGCCTCGCGTTCACTCCCGACGGTCACATTGCTGTGGCAGATAGCGGCAACCACCGCGTTGTGGTCGTCGCGACGACTGGGCATGTCATGGCCGTGATCGGGGCATTCGGCATAAATCCGGGCGAGTTTCAGGTGAGGACGTTTTTGCTTGGGACCGTTCTTCAACCTGTTGATAGTCACCGGTTGCTCTTGCGCTCAATCGATGCGGCGATCTGTTTGTGTGTGATCGGGACAATCACCGCATTCAAGTGTTTGGCGCACGGTCGTTCCGCCTTCAAACTCTGTGGGGTAGCTCGACCACGATGCAGCACCCGTCGAGCATCGCAGTCGGCTGCGAAGACGACGGCGACATTGTCGTGTGCGATGATACTCGAGTGTTCGTGTTCTCTCAAGTCGGGCTGTTGTCCCACGTCCTGGCCATTCCAGACGTCCATGGCGTGTGCTTTGATCGCCAGCAGCTCGTCCTCACGCAGAGCCCGAACTGCCTTCACCTTTGCACTCCGTACAGGTCCTATTCGACAGTACCTTGACTCGCCTGACTTTTGTGCGTAGGCTTGTTTCGACAGGCCCATGGATGGCAAAAATTCCTACGCGTGTCTTTCATCAAGTGATGTCGTTCTTGTCGTACCTGGACTCCATGTCTCTCCGTCAAACCAACAAGTTCGTTCACCGGCAAATCTCTCTTGGCGTTGAAAACTCATGGACACTCTGCAGATATTACCACCGCGTGACCAAAGCCCGCCGAGATGCATGGCTGCTGCACCCGTTCGTCCCCGGGACCCCGGGCGTCATTCGATACGGAAAAGTTGTCGCTCCAGCCACAGGCCTGCTCGCAGTGCATGACTTGTACTCCAAGTGGGGCGACCATGTCAACGCCACGATCGCATTGCATGACCGGCACGGTCTCGATTTTGACACGTCATTCAATGGCGCCATTTGCGAGTACTTTGGGCCGATGTTTTGGTTCCAACACGAGCCTGCGCTGCGCACGATGTTTTTCTTTTACGCAAGTTCATCCGACCCACGAACCAAAGCGAAGCTGCTCCTTCGCCAAGACTTCGTTGAGCTCGTGACCGTGCTTCTGGAAATTCAGGCGAATTATCTCCAGTGGTCGCAGAGTCGTCCGTTTTGCCATGTTGCGGTTCCCGCCACCCGATGCGCCCACGTTCACCGTCTCGAGCGTCTTGAACAAACGCAGGCGTATCAGTTGGATAAACTCATGCTGAAATTGAAGGCCATGATCTAGTGCTATCTCTCAGATGAAATGCGACGCATCGACGACTGCACACGGCGCCACCACAGTCGCATGTATACTGTCCTTGCGGACTAGCCACTCGACAAGGGGAGACGTGCGCGGAGGCGAGGAAATCCATGGAGTTGCCGTGGGGAAGTACGCCACAGTGGCAGGATTGAAGCGAACTCGCACTTGATCAACGTGAGGCATGTCTGAAATATCGCGGACCCACGTACACATGGACGCTTGAGGGTTATCCCATTCGTCATTCAGTGGTTCGTCAACAGTAATCATGATGGAGTGCCAAATTGACCTGGTCTGTATGACAATAGTCACCGATTCGACGACAATCGAGTATGGACACGCGTTTCGGAGCTCTAGCGTCACCTTTTCGCGCATAACATGTTTCAACGTCGAATTCACGGCCATGGATTGTACCAAATTTGTCGGAGGTGTTGCGAACTTCGTTGCCATTTCCTGCTGGGTGATCATTGCTACTGAACGGAATTGTCAGTCATGTTGGACCTGTGATGTATGCATACATATACGCACACTTTTTTGAGCTCATGATTCCATCAAGCACGGACGGGGTATTGGAGAGTTTGCTCAAAGCACTGTGGAAGTCACTTGGAAGGCAGCGAGGGCGACCTGTGGGATTTCTCTCACGATTTGCATCCCCTTCGACCAAAGCCGCAGTTGATTGTATAGCCATCCACTTGAGATGTCAATAGGGTTTGCTCACAGCAATGAAAAGTAAAACTTACGGCGAGGTAATACTCGTTGGCAACTTGTTCAATGGCTTTCAAGTGACAGGCTGCGACGAAAATAGTAGTGTGGGTCAATGTGGTACAATCATTCGACATCTTCGCGAGTTCGTTCATCAGCGCTTTGAATGCTTCAACAGATTGCTTCAGGCGAATGTTGAGAGTTCTCAGCGTCGCTTGGATATATGCCGCGGAGCATGGGAGAAGACCAAAGTCCACGGCATTGATACGTCGCGAATAGTCCTCAGCATTATGGAGGATTCTTTGCAGCTACAAGAAGCATTCCATCAGGATGTTTTCGCAGAGTTACCGCAGGTTCATCTACCTTGAGCTCCAGCGCCGCCTTCCCATCGTCGTTGCATCGGGGCATTGTTGACATACAGGTGATCCAAAATTTGAAAATTCGCGCGCAAACCGGATACATTATCCGAATACCACATCAAACCTTTGTGATTACCACTTCTCAGCCGCATCCTCTCTGCGGGAAGGAAAGGACCTTGCCGAGACTGCCTCGGGTAAGGAGGAAAACGATGAGTTACACATTCATCAACCCTATTGTGGCAAGAGGGATGGAACATAGCATGTGATCTTTGGCTTGAGATTGGAAAAAGTGCTTTACCTGTAACCTTGACAAGGTGGAAAAACAGTTCTACTCCTTCGATCCGCTGTCACACACTATCTGTTACGGCATCTTGAAAAATTTTCAATATCCTGGCAGAATTGCCTCCACTTTGATGTGCAAAATCACAGCCAAACAAAGCAAGCACTACTGTAGGGCCAATTCTTCCAATGATTCGGACGGAATTCCCGAAGTGACTTCAACATTTATTTCGTAAATAGTGAGTGATCAGCTATTTCGTTAGTTACTCAGTAGTTTTCAATCGTCTGAAGTAGGTCGATTGCGTGTCGTGATTTCGTAATGCACATTGTGTTTGTATGAAAGACTTTCAAAAAATACTGATCACACATTTTCTCTAAAAAAGTTCCACGACCCTCTGTTGGGTAAATTCCTCTTCTGAGTTGCTGTATTTTACTGCAAAGGCATGCTTATGTCTCTCGTTCTCACTCGATGAAATCAGGTCGCTTTCATGGCTGTGTTCCTCCCACAAGAGGGAAAACCGAAAATGGCAATTAGTTAGAGCAACTCAAGTTTGAATGTGAGATCATTGTTCTCCTGCTTCCATGTGGTTGTCTCACTGTGGCTTCTCCCGGGCACTCAGGTACACCAAACAACGAACACGGTGATGGGGGAGCAGTGGGCTCCCGGGCAAGCTTGTGGTGTATATTGAGCACTTGGAAGCAAATGCAAGACTGACTGGGGTAGCCAACTGGCTAATCCACCCTATAGTAAACCAAATATAAATCACATCGGCAAAAGTCCGATCAGACCCTTGTGCTCGTCAGTTCCCATCGGATCTACAAGCAGAGCATGTCCTTCCTGCTCATGGCTTCTTCATGTTCTCACCGACAGACAAAGGCACTGACACACAAAGCCGCTCGGCACCACCCTCCGCAGTCGGGCCCGGTCGCCATGGTGGCACCGACCGGGCGAAACGAGTTGCAGCTAGGATCACGGGCAATGCATTGCGGCGAACGCAACATTCCCCCATGCCGATCTCAAGCGCATAGTGCATGTCAGACAGCTGTCATCAACGATATGATGGAGGATCTACACAACTACGCTAGGTAGGACCTCTACCAATCCCTTGTGTTTCGCGCGCGCAGTCCGGCAACTGGTCGGCGAATGAATGTACGAGGGATAAAATCTCCCTGTACTTCGCTGGGAGCTGTTCCCAACTTGAATCATGACTTTCCAAGCCTTTCCATTGAATGAGCAATTCCCACTGATTAGAATCAGGGTTTCGTCGTGCGTCTTCAATTTTGCCAACGGCAAGCAAAGATCCTTGTTCGCTGATGTGGTGCAAGATCTCTTCCGTGATCATAGAGTGACTCTCTGCATAGAACTTCAGTCTGAGTGATGGGCTTCCCTTTGGGTGCCAGTGATGTGGTGTACTATGACACATGAGCATACATTCAACAACTCGGTTAGGTCCTGTCCACGAGACCAGTAGCCTCGGGTACTGGTTGTTTTCGTCGACTCTTGACCAGAGTACAGAGTCTCCTTCACTTGGTTCGATTTCTCGCACATGCGTTGTTTTCAGCGTCATGACGTCCGTCTATATTTGATCATGGATTTCCTGCAGACTCCTTCGTAGACAGTCTATTGCAGTTTGCATATCCTTGCGATACCACTTGATCGTGTAGAATCCTGTTTTTGACAAGTTGGCATTGATTTTACCTACAACGGTAGTGAAGATGTCGTAGTCCCCAGGTCGTTGAAGCCATTGGACTCACCTGGGCCAGCGTCGCGACAGGCGTCTGGTTGATGTTGGCGTGGACAAGTAGCAGCAAGTAGTCCCACTCGGTTTCTTTGAGCCTGGTTTCTCGCAGCATGATTCGCATGAGTCCCAGGATGCCGCAGTTAACACGTTCAATTGTGCCATTGTGTCATGGGCAATACTCAAGCACTATATTGTGCTGCACGTTAAGGTGTGTGGCAAGCTCGTTCATAACCGTATTTTTTGAGTGACAGCCGCTGTCCGAATTCCAAACCTCAGGCACACCAAACGTGCTGACTATTCCATGATGGCGTCGACTACAACTTGGCTTGTAAGGCTGTTGCACGCAATAAATCGGCAGTAGTGCGTAAGATCGTCCTTGAGCACCAGGACATACATCGGTAAGTTCCATGACACTCACATAAATAGAAAGTCGAATTGCAGGCCTTCGTTACGCTGCGTCGCGTGCCAAGCATGCTGCTGAGGTTTTGAATGACCTTTCTACCCCGAGTGTGCGGGTACATCAAGCAGGTCTTCTTTCATGCCGTGACCTTTGTATCAAGCTCGCGGATGTACAATAACTTTCGTAGATGAGTCGCCATGGCATGATGACCACGGTGACCCATTTTACCGCAACGTGTCATGAAGAACAGGCGCGTGAGGAGTTCGTCAGCGTCGCCAGGGATCAAGATGCGATCATCGACTGTACGCGCCCCGCTGTTGCCGATCGTGGTGGGTTGTGGGTGATTAGACTTGTCCTAGGCGTCCTTGAAAGCGTCATGGTCCGGCCAGATGAAGTTCTCGTCGTCTAGCGAGCGTATCTTCGCCTGTGGCGGCGTGTGAACGTACTTGGGCGTCGTTCGCGTTTTCCTGTGGGTCAACTTACGAAGAGCACGAGCATACTATCGAGAGTCACAGCGTCGGAAAGCAAAGTGTCGAAACCTGGGTGGATGCGTCCAGCGGAGTCGTCGGTCAGTTGCCTTCAAGGGCTGCAAAAACCCCAACGGTTCATGAGATCAGCCCATAGGTTGTGCACACCGTCGATATGTTGTATCACATAGCGGTATTGGCCAATCACGTCAGCCCATCGAATCAACTTCTCGCGCGTGTGTGCCTTGATTTTGACGCCGGCGACGAATACTCGGATGAGTTTCTTGTGGTCGCAGAACATTTGGAAACCATTGGCGCGCAGCAACGGGTATTTCAGTGTATCACACACGCGCAATGGGATAACCATAGACCAGTTGACCTGTATGATTGTTGGTCGACCTGCACCAGGAAGGTTGCTGGTCTTTTTGCAAC